TACTGAATTCTCGATATGTTTTTTCAATTTAACTTTGTTTCTTCGACATTAAAGAGTTTTGTCACAGCTAGATAACAAAAAAAATACACCTACCAGCTAACTGTCGTAGTGCACTAATAAAAAGTGCAAATTCATGTTCAAGCAATTCTTTATGTGGATAACGGCGAGCGTATCGTGGTGCATATTTATCATATTGTTTTTGCCATTCATCTTTTAAACACTCTGCATAGGTGATCATTTGCGCACCAGTCTTAAATTGATACATGTCACGTATGTATGGACAAATATCATATCGTGCAAACCAATCATAAATATCGTCTTGAGTCCATGTCAATACAGATTTATTTCTATTGTCAATTGTTTCAATTGGTTTCAAGGTTGCTAAATTACCGTCAGCCTTTATTATTTCTATAGTGAGTGCCTGGTCAAAAATAGGTGATGAACGATGATGTGTACCAATTAGGTTAGTGTCTGGTTGATATTCTGACGGAATGGATTCAATGACTTTTGATAAAAATTCTTCTACTTTGTCTTCATTCAATGGTAAATGTGTATTTTGAAAACGCACATATTTGTATTCGGCGAGTCGAATATCTAAATTAGAAGAAACTCTTATAAAAACAAACAAAAACATACATAACATGTCCTACCTAACCATTCACTTATTTCCGGTCTTCCAAGATACACAGGTAAAAAGCGTTTATTAAGTCGATCTTTTGCATAGATTACTTCTTGGCGACATGCTTTACTTGTCAAGTATTCTGATGATACTATGCATATGATCAATTCAGAATCTTTAATACCTTTAGCAATAGATTCCCAAACGTCGTCACTGCTTTTGCAAAAACGTTTATCAATCCATATGTCGAGTAAATCAGCTTTTTGATCAAGTAGTTCGAGTATTTTATCACAAAAATGACTATTAGCATGAGAATAACTCAACATGACAAGAGGCTTTTTTTGTTGGTGCTGTTGTTGTTGTTCTATAGATAGACATGGTAATGCCACTGATGCCACAGATATTTCAAGACCAAGATTGAATAAAATACCATCAGCAGCTTTCTTAACATTCTGCATGAATCGAGGTACATATTGTTCAATAATAAGTTCACTTTCATATAGGGCTACATTTTGCACTATATTCATCAGTTCTGTGTGTTGTGTCAACAATTCATGATAAACTTCATGAAATGAAATACTCCATAGGATATTAGACAGTGCAATAAAAGTAAATTGCTCAAGATGGTTCTTTTTTGGAAGTGTTGCATAAAACGAAATCAGCAGATTGGAGAATAAATTAACAGTAGACGTTGGATTTGATGGAGGAGTCGTTTTTGCGTGATTCATAACATAATCAAAAGTTGTATCATCAACGAATAATTTAACAAGTACAACAAGCGGTTCCGAAACATGAAAACCGTTACATCGATATTCTTTTGCAGTCGATGAATTAATAGCTATTTGAAGAAGTTGATCAAGTATAGCGTTAGTTTCTGTTGGGTCAGCTTTTATTTGATTTGGAGTAGAAAGAAGAGCTAATATCATAGTATTCAGTAATAATATATTTTGTTCACGTATACAATGAGATTGCTCCGTTTGTTCGATTGTTTTTATAACTTCATATTTATTAAGTTCATCAGCACCATCATCGTGTTTCGCTAGATTAAATACGATATTTACTATAGGTTGACGTACAGCATCAGTTAATGTTACATTTTTTAACCATTTAATAACATTTTTACCATATCCAGCATGTAAAAGATATGGAACGACTATCGTATGATCGCTTAAATGCCATAGAAACAATAAAATACATTGATACAAAGGAGTAAGTTTTTCATCGGTACTTGACTCTAATGTCGTACTTTGAAGTTGTTTTCCAACATAATCTCGCATAACGTTCAATAGCGAACTATACTTACTGTCCATATCAATGTCAACAAAAACTACCAAATCGCATAACGTCGATAGAATATACAATAGCCTATGTATGTTCGATTCAATTATAACATCTGCTGATGTATTTGTAGATGATGATAGAGATAACTGTTGAATTCCGTGTCTATTCAAAAGATCTAAATAATCAAAGAATTTTTCTCGCGAAAAATCAGTATCATTATTAAATAGATCAGTTTCGTTTATATCCATAAATATTTTTACGACTACGCCACGATAGGTATCAAAATAGCGTGTATCTTCCTGGCTGGCATAGTTTGCTATTTGCAATAATTCATTCCAAAGAGATATAGATTGATTTAATAGTTCTTTATTATTTTCAACAGTTGATAATGTAGTTGTTTCTTGTTTAAAATGTTCAAATTTGTCGAAAAGTTCTTGACAAATAGATACTTCTTGACATTCTATTCCGGGAATAAAAACAACAATGGGCTTTTCGAGTCTATATTCAATTTCGGAAACTACGATAGTTTCCCCAGGTTCCGATTCAGATGTTATGCTATCATTTGAAGTCATTTTCGAAATATCTGAAATTAAATAATAATTCTCGATAAACATTTTCAGTCAAAACAAAAAGAAAAAATGATGACGTATTTCCAAATGCTATTCAGCAAAATTAAGTAACTGGCAAGAATTTAGTTGGATGTTATAGCTATATTCTGCATGAACTGACAGCATAATCTTTTTCTAGCGTAGATTTCCAGTAATTATACTTCGCCAGTTTTTCTTATCAGCACAATCGAAATATCTGATCCGATGCCCGAATATTGTTCGTCATAATATTGCAAATATTCTAATCATAAGTAAAGTTCATGTTACTATTATATACGGCATTGGATGTGATATAAATAAGTCGCAAAGGTAACAATTACCAATCTGTCATTTTCCGTAATTCAAAGATAAGAACTTCAGTTGTCTTTTTATTCTTCTAATTTTATATGAAGCAATATATTTTCGTAAAATTTATCATTTTCTTAGGACAATAGAGAACGTGTGTTCTGCTACAAAATATTGCTTTTTTATAATAAAACTTATGTATTCTACAAAAATCTGACAAAATCGGTACATAGCTTATTTTAATCAACATTTACATATCCCAAGATAGTCATCTGACTTGTACCTCCAAATATGGATCTGAACTTCGTCTATATTAAGCATTTGTCAAATAGGAACGTTAAATCAATATATTTAACATTGATTTCTATTAATCTTCTTCAAAATGACGCGTATTAAGGCAATGTTCTTCATAAAATATCAAAAGAAAGGCATCAGAAGTTCTCATTTTGATACTGATGAAAACAACACACACATTTCTAACTGTTTCTATTGAAAATTTATTGAACTTATACGTATGGTTCGTTAATTCTAGCACCCAGTGATACCAACCTCTATTTATAGTGTGTTAGATGCATAAAAAATTAGCCTGGTAAAAAAGACCACAGTTATTCACCACAACGAAAAAAATATATACTTTTAGTCTTTTATGAATAATTTTCTACCTTGTGTTGAGGTGTTTATATTGCATGTGATAAGAAGGACGTTTACATCATTGACGGGTAATGTAGAGCGAACGAAGAAAAATCTATATTTAATGCGATGCGAACCATAGCATTTATGTAGTCCTTCGAGGATTTTTTTAATGCGAAGTGAAGCATAGCATTTCTGTAGTTCATCGCGAGTTTTTCTTTTATTTTATTTTCTCGACGTACCCTAATCGAGTCTCCCCCAACGACTCTCCGGGGATTTCTCTGGGGAGAATTGATGAAATTTTTTAAAATAAAAAGAAACTTTTTAATTTTTTTAATTTTTAAAAAATTAAGAAGAATTTATTAGTAATTAGTCATTTCATCGATTTTGACCAGATAACTCCCCGGGGAGTCCGTAGGGAGTCCCCGCAAAAGAACGCAATCCCAAGGGAATCCCTGTCGTGAGTCCCAGGGGATTTGTCAGGGGACTCTCTGGGGATTCTTCTAGGGAGAGTTGACTAGGGTATGCATCACATCTCGTCGTTTTGTTGTGCAATGACCTCGAGAACCGAAACTCATAGAAAAGTCATTGAAACGGGAGATGAAAATATCAAGATGGAACTTCTTACTCCTGTTTTCGAATCTTCAATCTGAAGTTCTGTTCACTCACAAATGTGGTTCCAAAATGACGAAAATGAAAGAAATTCGTTTCGAGATAATTTAAATGACGCCATCAACATATGTTAGCCACTATAGTCTATTCGTTTACAGCTGATCTAAAATAATGAATCACGGAGATAATCAATCGATCAATCGAAATCGACCCTTAAGAATGTATCGCTAAGTAATTTTCTCACTGATGAATTTCATCATGTCAACATAAAAAGTATTCAAGATTTCTCTGAACTGAAGATTTTTTCGTGAGGATCCGATTCGAGCTTCGCATCCCATTCGTATTCGAGTGAAACTTGAATGCGATCTAGTTATGCTTTCTGAAACAAATTGGCGAGAAGAAAAAAACTAATGACACATGATTCGTTGTGATATTTTTTTCTAAATGATGCAGTAAAAAACAGCATTAATGGTTTTCAAGTAAAATATAAATATCCATGAGTTCATTTAATCTCTATTTGCTGAAGCTTATGAACGTATTTCTTAGAATTTCTTTAAAGAAAAAATTTGAATATCACAAAGTTACTGAATTATAAATGAGGATTCAATATGATTGTATCGAAGTGTTGATAAATTCTGCACTGAATAGAGTTCATTGAACACTATCAACTGATGAGAGAAATATTAACGAAATAACTTTAAAAAATTAGCTTTTAATCTAAACTTTTTCAAATATCCATCAGAACCGTTTAGACTGCATTGGCTCTCATATATTCTAGGAAACAATTTCAAGTCTTTCTTTGATATTGCGATATAGAAAATGAAAGCATATAAATATTACAATTATTCATCAATATTGATAACATGGGTTATCAATAATATACAGTTTTTTTCCCTATGGCTTCATTGCAGGTAAACTACTGGTGCCATATAAAATTCATTTTACAAAATAGTAATCTATAATAGAACTTGATAAAAACTTTTCTTAGTATGCATGTGCAAAAACAAAATCGCAACAGCATTATTTGTAACTGAAAGAGCAATCTAAGACTCAGTAAGAATTTTTCCTGTTCGACGTGAAGAATAATATCTGTAGGTAGAATAAAGTATTTATATAAATTATGTTAATCTTTTACACAAAGCTAAAATCTTTAATCGGTATTCGCATTCAAAAAAAATCTAATACTTTTATTTTTCTTGCGATTATTCATACTAGTGCTGATAGTCTCATTCATCTAATGGCTTTTGTGATTTGTGATTTTTTTTTCTTTTTCTATTTTACAACGTACACACATATTCATCATTTATATATACTAGATGACTGCCTCTCTCGAAGTATTTTTACTTCAAGGTATATTTTCTGCTTTTTCCTCTGCTAGTATTGACTGTATATAGAGGCGTAATGTTTTTTTCTCCACACACATTGCAAAAGCAAAAAATGTTTAACCTTCGTTTGTATGTCTGTGTTTTTGTTCTAATGGTTGTTATAAATTGTGCATCAGCACGAGCACGAAATCATAACTATTTAAATGAACATGAAAAACGGTACGACATATTTCTATATTTAATAGATAACTTTTCTTTTAACAAAATATATGTATTATTGATTGGCATATCTAGACTATTTGGGTGCGGCGCGCTTGGTACGTCATGTAGTGGCTTGTTTTCTAAATCGTGCTGCAATGGTTTTAAGTGTCACTCAACTACTGGAAAATGTGTAAGCTCTGGCGGATCAAGTAATTGGCTTGGTGATCGAAATGGCAAATAATGATTAAAAAAACTTGAAATAAAGTTCGTCGTTCTAAGGCATGCAGAAACGTTAAATAAAAAGTTTAAATGATTATAAAAACTTTCCTATACATCTTACTAACATAATATTTCCATTTTTATTTTCTGTGCTTATAATTTATGGAGTGTCTCTTTTTATGACGTGGCTAGATATGAAACATCAACTCATATTTTAAATCATATTATTTTTATGTTACCAATATTTTATCTTGTTTCTTCATACGAAATAACTAACGAAACTTCAGCATTGTTTTCGTATGTTTATATTTTGATGATAACTAATTCAAGAATGATACAAATTGTTTAAGATGAAAGAGATATATCAAATTTGAATACAAAGAAAATTTGAGAGAAAACCATCGATATAATAATCAATCAGTTTCAAAAACCAACATAAATCTAATCAAGATTATAGAAATAAACAGTCAACCCGATTGTGTTTCAAAAACGCAAACATTTAAAATATATGTACAACTAGAAATTCTCTGAGTATAACTGAATAAAACTACATAGAAAAACATACAAGGTGAAACATTTTTCAAAATGTCATCAAATGTAATATTTTATGGCTCTCGTTCAAACTGTATTTCACAACAAGCAATGATATATAGTACTAAAGAATATTTTATGCTATCTCTCCAACAATAGTACACCAACAAATTTTACAGCTATGATATTAATAAATAAATACTACAAAGTATGTAGCATTTTGTAATCAAATTGTATATTTATTTAATATTTTTGCATAAAATATACACTGCACATATTGTACAACATTTTATCCCGAAAACTAACGACATCTAATACAGTATTTGTATGTATATATTTTATTTTATTTTCGTGTGATCTCAAGTAAACCGTTTGATAATCGAAGCGCTATAGTACAAGGCAGAAATACGACGACAGTAGCTCCCTTGGACGGCTCCATCATATTTATTCATTTGAATGAAAATGAAATACTTACTTATTTTTCAATATTTTCATTATTTTACTGAGTCATTAGATATACTCGTACGTTTTTTTTTTCAAAAACAAAATATATATAAATACAAACAATATTTTACTTGAATCTACTTCATATTATTTGCGTCATTCAGATAAATCTTACATCATGAATGTCGACGAGCAACCCAGTAGCAACAACGATCCATTGTCGAGAACTACAAAAGATTTAGATCAAGAAAATTTACTCGCTCTTGTTTCTGTACGTCCTCCAACACCAGATAAATGTGCTGTATGTTTAAATAATAAACAAACAGATATTATTGCTCGAATCGACTCATGTTCACATACATTTTGTTTTTCTTGCATTCTTGAATGGTCAAAAGTTCGTGCTATTTGTCCATTATGTAAACAACCATTTAGTGTCATAACACGTGAACGTTATTCTGGTGATATTGTTGAAGAAATCTGCGTACAAACACCACGACGACCATCCCGACAACCACCAAATTTTACTAATCTTAATGATATTCTAAATTGGTTTGATGCACGTCACCGTGGAACAGATACAGTCGACAATACTAGACGTGATGATATATTTCGACAAATGGTTTATGTCGAATGGTTAAACACAATACAGTCACTTGTTCGTCGGCCAAAGTAAAACAAACCATATGAAATTCTTTTTTTGAAAATAATCATCTTGTTTTGTTTCTTTTAGTAACACTTTAAGAACTTCTACTCAATCAACCTTAGCCCGTTCAACTAATTCATCGTCTTGGGCAAATATAATACCTCTTGATTCTATACGTCGTCTTCTACATCGTTATTTACGTCAGACAACATCTGAATTACGCCAATCAACTATTTATTCTCAATCAACACGTCAAACAGTTGCATTTCGTAAATATGTTTATATACATCGTCTATTTGTTCGTAGTCCACTAGTTGGACATAACCTTGATACATTAAGTGTACGAGAATGTTCACCAACATGGTATGCTTCAAATCCAGCTTGTCTTCATCGTCTCGTACCATTTTTAGCAAGAGAATTATTAGCTTTATTGTGGAATGATGAAAGAACTATTGAAAATGCAATACAAGAAATTCTAACAGCTATTCAATTGCATGAAATACGTTCGAGTTTTCTGGCAAGAAAATTAAATGAATATCTTGGACGTTATACAAAACATTTTATACATGAATTTTATACATTTGCTCGTTGCCCATACGATTTAGCTGGTTTCGATTGTCATGCTCAATATTCGACAATGAATCCATCACCACCAGTAAGATCACCAATGGAAATCTCACTTGATGACGATGAGAACGATGATGGAAATGAAGAAACACCAATTATTATTGATGAAACTAATGATGGATCAACAATCGATACAGTAAGAATGTTAATTTGAAGGAAAATTAGCAATCAAATTTCTATTCTTTTTAGATTGATATTGTTTCTTCACCACAAACAATAACAACGACAGAATCTGAACATCAATCATCATCACCAGAATGTGAAATTGTTGAATATGTTGAACCTAGCATTGCAAGAACTCCTAGTCTAATTGTTTTGTCTGAAGATGAAGATGAAGATGAAGATGAAAATGAAGATGAGGATGAGGATGACGATGATGATAATGAAAATAATAATGACTCACAAGTACAAGTTTCATCATCTACGAAGCGGAAATATAATCATGGTCACAACAATAGATGTAAAAAACAGCAAACAACTTCAAGTGAATTTATTGCAACAATTTATTATTAATTATATTGTTGTTATTCTTTAGTAATAGAAATTGATTCTCCGACAAGTGTAATAGTGGACGATGATGATGATGATGAACCACAACGAACAAATTCTAATCAAGAACAATTAACAGAAGAAGAAAATCAGCAATAAGAGAAAATTATTGTATTTTAATCGTATTGAATATATAGCGCTTTAATTTTTTTTCTCAGTTTTTGTGACGTTGTTCTTCTCTTGTCAAAAATACATACACACACATATATATATATATAAATAGCAATCATTGTAGATCTTTGAAGAATGTCTTTTGTAGGGAAAAAAAGATTTACATATATTGTCTTTATTCTATTGGCAAAAAAAACCAATACCATGCATAAGGAGTACCTTTACTATTTTCTTTTTAAATAAAACGAAATTACCTCAGTAGTGTACAATCATTTAGATGTCTACTTTTTGTAAAAAGCAAGTAATATTTGCCTACGAAAATTTTTTGAAATGTCAGGATGTGCTGTACTGTACTCTATCACAATGTAACAATAAGTAATGTTTAATGAATTCTCAATCGGCTATAAAATGTCTCGTAATCTCATTCAACAAACGCAGATTGCTTTAAATATTGAAATTGTTTAGTAAAACTATAGAGTTAAGAAGCTTAATGAACATAGATTTTACTATGAGTCAATTGAAAATTTATACTGTGCTAAAATTGTTATTTACTAATCGGTAACATGCATGCACAATGTTGTTCAATGCAAAATTTCAAACTATTCAATATAAATATGTTTTGAAATTCGAAAATTCTCTTTTTGTACGACACCTGTAACACTTTCTCTAGGGGAAACACTCAATAGTTGGGTTGCACAGTTGATAAAAGATATGCTGGGCGGTATTCAAAATCTTGGTTAGCTTTTGTTTTGAACTATGTTTACCTTGAAAACAACACTGCACAAGATATGAATAGTAATAATATGATGTTTCCTTTTAAATTTGAAAAATAACTAACAACATGATATTACAACAATTTATCATTCACAGTAGAACCTGTACACCTCCAACTTTGCAGTTAGCTGATATCCATTTATTTGTAACTATACTCTTGTAAACATTGAAGGACCTTGTTTTAGTACAATATAAGTAACACGGATTTCTGAGATGCTTTTCAGCTTTTTTCAAAAAAATGTAATTCCACCAAGAATCAATTTCGTATCGGCTGGTTTTCATTCGAACCTATTCTATTTCACTTATTTAGATATATGCATCACATACAGGCAAAAAAAGAACAAGGAAAGTCAGATTTATTTTATTGTTTCATTTGAGTTACGAAATAAAGTAGCGCAAGGCCTTGAACTTATAATAGAGATGAATAAGATACAATAATCAGCGACTAGTATGATTCACACTTGTGTTCTCTTGTTCATACGCACTTAGTCACCAAAATAAAAAATAATACAATCATTTCTCTGTACAAAACGATGTGTATGAACGACCTTACACAACAGTGAGTCACACTATCTTTCGCCGAATGTTTTTTTTCTCGAGAACCTAAATGATGACCAACCAGAACGGTCAGGAACGAAAAAGTAGGCACGCAAAAATATACGCATATAAGACATTGAAAATTGAAAAATTGATGAGTAACCGTTGCAATCCAGGTATGATATTTGTTCTGTTGCTTCATGTGATAATAGTATTTCTGTCTTGAAGAATCGAGTCTCTCAGGCGAAAGGTGTTCTATTTATGTATTTTGTATTAGCGAGCCACTATGCTGTTGTGTCTGCTCATTATTACTACTGATCAAAAGATGATCCGCAATCTTTAATCACTTCTAATTGAAATATTAATGATTAGTCACATTAGACCTAGATATTCTTAAAGTCTCCACCAATAAAGTCGATTGAACTCGATGCGTAACTCTCACATATGTCGTCCTTTCGAGCTCAATAAAGGTTTTCTCAGTAGATATTATCCTAATATTCTTGAAAAAGCGATAAAGACCGATGTCAGTTCATTCTTAGAGTTAGTGAAATCATTGAATTTTTTAAAATATATCTATTTTTCAGAGGCATCAGGTTATTGGCAAAATTTTATTTTTGTCTCAGAGATAAGAATTCTATAAGTTTACGAAACAGACAGATACCTTGAAAACTGCATAACTTTGCTAAATCTCAGTAGGACTTCAAAACCATACAAAATTTTCACTCCAATACTATCTAGTATTAATAGATAAGCAAAATATTGATTTAGAAAGACATATTTTCGAAAGTTTCTCTCGTCAGTTGCATCGGACAGATTAGAATTTGAATAGAACTATACTCAATCGTATCGGTCTCGGTTCCTTTATCATATTTTGATGTGCTTTACTCTTCGTGGTTGACCGTTTCTGTAATTAGTTCTCTTCAATTCTTCTTTACAGTTCGAGAACATAAGTGCACTTAACCATAGGTCAAATGACTCATCCTTGCATAAATTTGTTAATATAGCTGCCTCTCTAGAGAAAGATTGTACAATTTTATTCTCTAATGATTAAATTTTTATGAACAACAGAACGCAAAATGACTCATACTGACCCTTGATGAGTACGCTGTTATTCAGCTCCCATATACACATTCAAGGTCTTATGATAATTTACTTGGTAATTAAAGATAAACAAATAGAGACGTCTGACTGGTTTCATATATTATGTACATACGAGTTAAGCAGATATAGTCTGTGTCTTCATGAGTTTGAACTCAAACGAAATCAATCAGTAATAGATTGATCATCAACGTAATAAAAATTTCTTCAAAATATTTTATATCTGCTCAGCTTCTTGTTTGAATTTTTTCGGAAACTGAGCATAATAGATTCTGTGAACTCTTAGCCTCAAGTCGATACTACAAGCGGAATTTTCAGAAACTGATATAAGATCAGTTATATGCTATTTAAATACTGTCTTTGCATAATATGCTAGAGCAAGGAAAGTTTCATAATGATTGGCCATATTTTGACTATATTTCATCAAATCAACAAAAAAGTATCGAAACTAATTAACATTAAACAATGATGATCATGTTATATAGTGTGATAAATTTAAGCTTTCGCCAATATAATCTGTATCGATCATCTATGAACGTCTCAGATTGAATCTAACGTTTGATACGAATACATTCGAATGTTTGTGATCAGACAACCTCACCCAGGTCTTGCTATTTTCGTATACATTTTAAAGGTCGTGTATCTTTATACGATTCGTTCTAGTCTATTTAGCATATCAGATTAATGTAAATCAAAGATCAGGCAGTAGATTATTTTGAAAAAAATTTGATTGATAAAAAAATATTTTTTCCGTTCAAAACCTAAAAATTCAATGGCATCTTTTATCTTTGCTTTGCATGGAAAATTATAAAACTACACAGATTAGCGAACTTTTTCAAATTGTAATAGAATATTAGAAAATTCTAACAATACATTCGTTTATTGTTCGGTGAGAGTTATCACAATAGAGAAAAACAGAAAGAAAAAATAAGTGATATTTGCCATTGATATTAACCCCGAAAACGAATTAGCGGGTGTTTCGATACACAAAGTCAAACAACTTATTTTTATTAAGAAACGATAACCTTATCAATATGAATTGTTTGCCAATTACAATACGTGAAACTCACAGGGTTTTATAGGTAATTGACATCGAGATCATGAGACTTTATTTTTTCTATAATATTTACGAGTAATAGAGACAATCTGAATGCACTCATTTTTCGTTTCTATCAAAAGATCCCAGTTTTTCCAACAATAAAATTTACATCGAACTGTAAAGTTAAAGTTTTTGTTGAAAGTTATATGAAATATATTTCTGTATAATCGAGAATATTATTCGCGATAAATACAATGAAATTACTGTAAGAATTCAGCATTTATGATTATTTGATTGATCAAAAATATCTATCTTAATACCGAATAGAATAAGACCGATTTTTATCAACGAATGAGTAAGTTCTGATTTATTCATCGACAACATACTCATCTTATATTAAAAACGTTTATCAGTTACATTTTGTTTTCCTACTTACCTTGTTTTATCATTATCATATCGAAGCTTATGTTTTTCTTTTATTCTTTGTATGAATAGAAAAATAGGCAGGTGTCTTTCGTGAAAGATTACCCGACAGCATGTCTGAATGCGATACTATGCAATACGATATTGAACCAGTAAGAGTCAATGATTGACAATTGTTAAACAAAAACGAATCATTTTTATTAGGGTAAACAATCCGTCTTTGCTGTACGTGCTAATGAGTTAAATGCGATCTCAAATAATACGCGAAAATTCAATATAACTTATAAAAACGATGAACAATCACTTGTTCATCATTTGCTTAGAGAGCCATTACCAGATGTGATTATTAAAGTCATTGGTACAAACAATGAAAAAACAAGAATTTCATTGATATCATCAATTCAATATGCATTGCAGCAAGATATCCGCACTATGATGGAGCAAACAAGTGAGTCATGATAACGTTATTGTGAAAAGAAAGCGTCATGAAGATTTCAAAATGAATCTATGAATTTTGACATTTTACTTATTTGTGATAGATATTTGGATTTTGAATGGTACTCGACAGATGATTGGTTTGGAAGAATATGACGAAACTCTAACAACCAATAATCAAATAAATCCAAATATTATTCTATGTGAAGTAAAATCTATCTATAAATAACAAGAGACTTCTTTACATATTGATGTTTTCAATTGTCTTAGCAATTCGGAAAATCACAATTATTCACATATCATGCTACAGTACATCGATTCATAGATAAAATAATTTGCCAAATACAACTTGAGCAAACATTTTCTAAAATTCCTATTATCGCCTTGTTTGTTCAAGGTAAGAGAAATGGAGCATCAATAGAGTTTTATTCAATATTTATTTATCTACCTATTCAGGCAATGTTTCTTCAGTAGCAGATGTCATTGAAAATAATAGTAAACACATTCCAATCATTATCTTAAAAGTAATAGATACCTAAATTAAAATTCCTTTTTTTTGTACGTGTTTTCATATGAAAGGGCACAGGATTAGTTGCAAATCAATTAGCTGTTGTATATGAATCACAAAGAGGTGACTTCAAAAATATTCATACAGATTCATCTAAACAACAATTATTGTCGGGAAAAGATTTTCGCCGCCTTGCTGATATCAAAGATACCAAAAGTAGTCCGATATTTGTTTGTCAACCAGGCAGAGACCAACTTGATGAAAGCATTCTTCGTGCATTTAGTTATGGTTAGTAATTCTTTTTTTTTTGTCGATTCCTGGTCTATCTTTTTCTCTTCAAGCAATAAAAACTATTGATAGTTCTCATGCTCGTGTTACTGAATTCGGTTTTGCTATACGTTTGAATAAAATCAATTATGCACAAACATATATACTCAATCATGATACAATTATCTATTGGACAGTAAGATCAGAATTGTTTATTTTCAAATTTTATCTTTTTCAATGAAAATAATCTATATGATAGGATGATGAATTAGATGTTTGTCTTGAAAATGCTATTCTTTTAAATGCTGTATCGTTTGTTGAATTGTTATTACGATATGGCGCATCATTACGTCGATTAGCTCTTACGAGTAACTTTACTCGTTTTACAATCAAAGTAAGAGATTAGATATAAACTATAGAAAATACTTAAATAGTTCGTTTTATTTAGCCGAATAGAAAAAGTAAGAACAAAACATTTGTTTAAAAATAGAGAGCGAGAATTTCGCTGGCATTTTTTTCTCCCATATAGAAAGTCATGTGGTTGAACTCATGGAAGAGCATATGTCAGTGCCAGTATATCTTCTTGATCGTGATGTGCGACTTAAAAGTATGTTGATAATGATGATGATGATGATATTTTTGTTTCAATAAATTATTTATTGATATTTTTTCTAGAAAATCTTCGACTTTTATTCTGTTGGGCAGTTGAAAATCAATATTTTGATCTTGTTTTGAGTATTTGTACTCGATTAGAAGTATAGACTGGAAAAAAGTCCTAATAAGGAAAACTTTCTTTTTCTTTCTTTTTGCTATATATTAGGATTCGATTGTTGCATTGTTACTTGTCAGTCAATGGTGTCAATATAAAGAAAACAATGATCATACGACTTCCATTAATTATCGAAAGCATCGCCAGTAAGTCAATTTATGTTTGAATCGAATTTGAATGAATTTTATTTTTTGATATTGAAGACAATTTCAAAAATACGCTGCCGATATTCTTGATCTGTATCATGCAGACAATGAAGAAAAAACAAGGCGACTCTTAAATGAAAAATCAAATTTATATCAAGAACAAGAAGCGTTAGCTCTAATCGATGATCTTTGTTCAAAAACATTAGTATCAACCAAATGCTTACAATCGTATACTAATACAGTCTGGTATGGAAAGGAGTTTCATGTCAATAAAAATTTTGTATGGGAAATACTGGTAATAGAAATAGACGACAAAAGAAGCAATGTTAAAACATATAAAACAATATTTATTTCAATTATAGATTTGTCTTGTATGCATTTGTCCATTGCTTTTGTTTATTCCATTTGTACATAATCGGATTTTTCTACACGATAATATGAATGAATTTGAACATAAAAACAGTAAACACCGGAGTACAATGGCAAATATTTTCGAACTTTTTCGCCGATTTTATCATGGAAATGCATTCATTCGATTTCGTTATAATATGGTTCGTATTATTATTTTATGTATAGAAAAAGAATGTGATTATATCGATCACGAAATTCACTATCTTTTCATAGCGAAGCGATAACTAACTTTCAGACAGTAGGAAAGTTCTAACAAATTATAGAAGACTTGTATTTCTCGAACATTTTTATTGAAACTTTTGAAAAGTTTTCCCTAAATTAATGGCGAGATATTCTAATCATAGATTGGAATCAAAATTAGGGATGAAATGGACACGAACGTTTTTACGATTGGGTCAGATTAGCTGATGAGATCAGTATTAATTGATACAGGGTTATAAAATGGAGTTCTTTCTATTTCTATTTCTATTTATTTTTTCTATCTATTATGTTCTTGTTTGAATTTAGGCTTCATATATTATATTTCTGATATTATTCAGTTACACGATTTTATTCGATTATTTTCCATTGAATATTTATCAAGAAAAACGTTCCAATATAAATCGATTACCCATTCCAATAACTGAATTAATTGTACATATATTTCTTGTATCAATAGCTTTCGATGAACTTAGACAAGTATGAAATTTTGTTTTATTTTTTTATTTTTAGGTATTAAAATTTTGATTCGATATTATCTTTCTAGATTATTTCGCATGTTAAATCTGTGTTAGATCAAAATCCTTTTTGGACAAGATTAGAAGGATTAAAACGCCATCGCAATACAGTATGGTCATTTTATAGGAATGATCCATGGAATATATTAGATTTTGCTGCTTTTACCTTTTGGATAATTGGTTTTTCTACACGTTTTATTGTAAAAGATACTGTATTTGCAGTATCGAAGTAAGAGAAAGAAAATCGAAGCGTAACAATTTGTTATTTTTGAATTTTAATGTTACTAGGATATTTATGAGTCTTGATTTATGTCTATGGTATATGCGATGTTTACATGTATTTCTTGCGTCGGAAACATTAGGACCAAAATTAATTATGATATTTCATACGGTTAGACAAGATTTTTCTTTTCTTTCATCTAATATGTTTTCTTTGTTTTAGATGAAAGATTTAATATTATTTCTACTTTTTATATTTATTTTTTATTTGGCTTATACAATAACAACCTATTCATTAATATCAACATCATCATTTGTTATTTGGTCGAATTCAACCTATTTTACCACAGTACAAAATGGCGGAAATTTAACTAATATGGAAATTTTTCGAAATATTATTGAATGGGGTACGTGGAAAATTTTTGGAAGTACGAGTTTAACAACAAGTGATTCTGTTAATGTTCAATACTCAGGTTTGTTCTGTCGCATTTTAACTATAAAAGAAAAAATCACAATTTTCAATTATTTTCAGCACAAAATGATGCTTATGGATTTGTTACTCTAATTTTAACAATAGCCTTTTTAATTATTGCATATGTTCTTTTATTAAATAATCTTATAGCTTTATTTAAGTACGTAACCAATCAATACTTGTAGAATCTTTTTTTTAAATTTTATTTCGTGTTGTTTAGTTTTACAATTCAACGTGTTCATGGTGAATCACATCCAGCCTGGTGCTATAATTTTTATGTTGTTCTAAGAGAATATGAAGAAAAAGATATGTTTGTTCCACCACTTAATTTATTACTATGGCCAATAAGTTATATGATGCGTAGAAGTAAATTGAATTGGATGGAAAATGTTCTAATAGATTGAATTCTTCTTTTATAGAACTTCATCATATTCAAAAACATGCTTTTACTGAAAATAATGATTATGATCAACAACGTCATCGAAAACATCAACAAAGAATTGCTGAAAGGTATTGGAAAGAAAAACAAATTAGTGAAAACAGATCTGGTAAATCAATAATTTCCATGTTTTGAAATTGTTATTTATTCACTTTTCTTTTTTTGTTTCAGCAGCCAATCAACCATTATATGTATCTTGTCAATGTAAATGTCGTGGTGCTGAAGTTGATCCTTTGGAATCGACAAGTTTTTAAAGTTCTGTTTTTTTTACACAATAAAAAATAAAGATAAAAGATATCAATTTTCAGAGAGAAACTATGTTTGAGATATTAGTGAGTTTGAATAAGACAAATTATGGTATATGAGCAAATAAAAGAGAGAAAATAAAGCAAACTTAATTGATTTTACTGCTTTCTGTAAAAGTTTGAAATTGTTGTCGCAAAAAGAAATTTGAATTTGAATTCAAAAGTACTCGATAATATTGTCATAACAATAATGATGTCGCTGAGAACAACTTAAACTCTCACACAATGAATAACTCATTTGGAATAAACGCACAACTATTCAATGAAACTCATTTGATAGAACAACAAAGTTCAATTTCGAAAGTGCAACAGAAGTATCTTAAAGTAGGTCCTGTTATTATTGATAAATAATAATAATGACGACGGATGAACTGGAAATAATATATTTTGAATGTAGATGAAGTGTAGTGTCAAGTATCTCTAGTTTATCGATGAAGTTTCAATCATCCAAATATGTAAAAATATCAAAAGCTTAAATAGGAAAATTCTTTTACCATAATAGTTTGTTTCTATTGAGTGCCTTTGAATCATTTAGTTCGTTCTAAAATCTTCGAGAAGATAGCATTGACTAACTTAGAGACATCAACGATGACAATATATCTTTTGTACATGAACATGTTTGACTAATATAAACGTTCTATGTATTAGATTAGATTACACGTAGAATTTCATGTTGAATAATTATTGAAAAGTCGGCGGAAAATTTTGTTTGGTTTTACTTTCATATCTCTTCTGTAATCTATGCATTTCAATTGTAAACTATAATTTTCGCTAAAAATGAATATTTGAGCTTCACTATAAAAAAAATGTTTTTTGAATAGGCTAGAGAAACTTCAAACATATCATGTGATGTATGATGACAATAGAATTCTACGTACTTACCTATGACTCATCTTTTGAGATCATCGTCTATCTTTTTATTAAGTTGTTTTTTTTCTATCTACTTTTTCTGAAGATTCATATGCGGAATAATGTTGTAGATTTGAATGTAGCTTTCTTCGAAGGAACGTTCTGACAAAAAATAAGTAAAGTTATCACATACGAGAAAAAACGAAGTCTTAGACATATAATTGACGACTGCCCATTTTGTTTTAAACGTACTTTTGGGTTAAAAAAAGTGCATCGCGAATCTTTATTTCTGTCGTTTATGCTAACCATATTATTGTAGTATTATTTTCGATTGTCCTTTGGTGGCGCATGCCATTTGTTTATTTATTTTTATTACGTCGTATAAATAGGCAGCATTAAAAGGAACGATGAAAACGCAGCAAAACATTTAGTTTTCATCATTTGATATCTTATCATTTGTATGCATTCATTTTCGTGTTACTTCTTGCTGCATCATCATTTTGAAGCAGTTACAACGTCGGCATATTCTCTACCAGTATCATCAAGCGATATTAGCGGCGACACAATGAGTGATGAACCGGATAACCAAGGCGATCTGTCTAAAGATGAAACGACAATAAAAATCCCTGAGAACGAAGGAAAGCTACTTGACACCATTGATCTATCAACAGATTCAACACTAAATCCAGGTGATGAAGATAGTCAATTCATATATGATAGTGATTTTCTAAGACTTATTTGTATTGGTTCGCATTTTGACGATATTCCACAGAGTATTATTGAAGCGTACTCACTTACGACCAAGGTAAAAGTGCATATTAAAATAGCAATCATTTTAATCAAAGTAACTTGTGTTTTTATTTTTCAATTCTTATTTAGATTCTTGATTTAAGTAAAAATCGATTCCGTTCACTCGCTTGTATTAGACATTTTCCTAATCTTGAAGAACTTATACTAGATGACAACGACTTAGATGACACCCATACACGTTTTCCAAAATTACCTAATTTACATACATTGATGTTAAATAAAAATCGTTTCCAAGACATCTATAAATTAGTTGATCAATTACGTTATGCATATCCAATGCTTACACATCTATCCCTATTAGGTAATGAAGCATGCCCATATCGAATAGTTGCAACTAGTCAAACATCATCGAATAGTGCAGATCTTAGTACATTTGCACAGAATCGTCTCGATGAAGAATATCAACGTTATAGACATTTACTTATATTTCGTATACCAACATTGAAATTTCTTGATGCCAGTGAAATAAGTCCAAATGAACGTCGTATTGCAGGACAACTAGGTGATATACTTTATTCAATAACTGAGATAAAGCAATCGCAATCATCAACAAACAATGATGACAGAAATCAAGAGAGAAACACTTATTATACACCATTACCAGCAGATACAGATAAAAGTAAACATCGAATATCTGTTGGAAAAGTTCCATCAAAATATAATGGAGATGGGAGCCAAGGAAATAAATTTGTTCGCGATGGAGACTTATAATAGAATATGTTGTCAAGTGACTTTTTTGTGTATTTTGTTTTATTTTATTTTTTGTCTTTTTTCAACATTGAATAAAATCAAAATTTTCAATTTTATCGTTGACGACTATCAATGTCAAAAGAATATCGGCGAAAACGACAAAGAGTTGAACTTCAAGATAAACATCAAAAATCAGGTTTGCGTGAATTAATTTTCTTATTTTTGTTTTCATCAATATTTGTGAATTTTTACAATTTTGAAATCTGTTTCTTCTTTATCCATTGAATAATTCTTGAAAAAAAAACTAAAATCAAATAATAGATTTACATGTTCACGTTAAAAAACAAAGTATACCATTGAAATCTTATATAAACTTAACATTTTCAGCAAAATATATTCAGAAAAAAAACGTCTGATGTTATCAAGAGTGCCTGAGTTGTGTTTGAAGTCTTTAATGATAAGTATACTAAAGAAAAAAACTACCACAAACGGCACTTGGGGATAAAAAAAATATGCTTATACGGAATGTTACACTTTACAGCTATCGCAATAAGTGCTAGTATCGAATAATAATTTCTCACATTTCAATTATTTTGTTTAAAAAAAAGAGATCGATTAACTTCGATTACAAAGAAAACTTACAGTAGATAGATTTGAATGCAAGAAGATTGATGAAGAAAACAGTCCGGTTTCCCTATGGCTCAAAAACGGCTTCTTCGAAAATTATTTAGTTTCCTACAATTTGAATGTGCTCACATCGATTTTCTAAAAGTTTGAGACATATGAACATCGTTCTGTTGTCTGGAATATTTCATTACACAAGTTCGAAGACAAATGGTTTAAGTTAAACGAAGATAGTATAATTCCTTTTTGTTAAAGTTTCCATCGTTGCTCATCTGTAGAAAACACACAATTCATAGATAAGACATATTAAACCTTTTCATAGGAAATTATTCTTAAGAATAGCAACAACATTAAACGATTGAATTAGGGATGTTTACATCATAGGAGTTTTTGTTTCTCGTTAGCTGATAGTGGAGCGTTTTCACCTACGCTGTCGATTAGAAAAATGATTCATTTTATACTATCATAGAAATTTTATCTTGAAGAGTTTCTTAAAATCTCATCATAGTTTAGACAAGTAATTTTTGATATAGAAATAGATCGAAAAAATAACAATTTTATATCGTCCACCAAAAGTCATATCATATTTTTAAGAAAATGAGCTTTTAATATTTATTTTTGAGACAATGAACAAAATTCAAATCTTCAAAAATGTCTAATATGTAATCGTCATTTTATTTCAAATCGTCTCGTCGACCACGAACGAGCTTGTAAACAAGCCACGATACTTCATACAAATTCTTTGCATCGTTATTATTATGATAGTCAATTACATCGATGGAAAGGTCTTGATTATAGCATTAGTTCAAATCAATCAAATACTAATCGTGACAAACATCAACCTTCCACTAAACATTTTCCACAAACTCATTGGCGAGAAAAACATCAACAATTTCAAAATATAATCAAAAGACAATATAATTCAAAAGATGATTTAATTCAATCATCAGATGATCGTTCATATCAATGTTCTCTATGTCAGCGAAAGTTTGCCACTGAAAATGCTATAACTAAACATCGAAAAGGTTGCACAGGCAATCGACATATAGGTTTAAAGAATCGTAATATAAGAAATAAAAGTATTAAATAGGAAAGAAAATAGTTTTCTTATAAAATAAACAAATATTATTTTTGTTTTTGTCTTATGTTTAATCTACTAAAAGAAAATATTCGTTTTGTATAATATATAGAAACAAGATAAACGATCAGTTTTCACTGCCATCTATTGTCTATAAAATTATATTTGTCTATATACTATTAGTACAATAAATAATGCTTGCTTATTTCATTAGAGTATCCAGTACATCGGCTGGTTCATTCGCTTATTTTCGTTTTATTTCTTCTGAAGAAAAGGATGACTGCACAAAACGGATTTACTTCAAAAATATCAGACAACAATCACCAGAACGAATATTTATTTGATATTAATTTGCTTGAATCAATATTCCAAGATTACTCATTAAAAGATTCGAAGCTTTGTGGAAATATCTACGATGGCAAATATATAGTTCGACCATTGGGAAAGTCAGATTTCGATCAAGGTTATATTGAACTACTTCGGCAATTAACTGAATGTGGAACAATTACATACGATGATTATGAAAAACGTTTTAGTGAATTAAAAGAATGTTCAAATACATATTATACTGTGATTATTCAAGATAAAAATGTTGACCAACGGATTGTTGGGTCAGCAACACTAGTTTGTGAAAAAAAATTCATTCGTCAATGTGGTACACGTGGTCGAATTGAAGATGTTGTTGTAGATGATCGATGTCGTGGACAACAACTAGGCAAAGTACTTGTTGATTTGTTAACGCAATTTGCGCGCGATAAATGTGATTGTTACAAAATATCATTAGAATGTAAAGATCATTTAGTTAACTTTTATCAAAAATTTGGTTACAAGCATGAAGATCAACAAAATTATTTATGTCGACGTTTTGTAACTTAATGAACATGAACAAAACTGATCAAATTCTTACTTTCATTTAGCTCACGAACAACAAGAAAAAAACAATTTCAATGATCATGGTTATTTTTATTTTTCAATCTCATGTTTTTTTGGGCTCTATTTTAACCGGTGCATTGTATACTTTTTCTCTTTTATCTGATGAATCTCAACTTTTATATTTAAATATACATTCATATACAACTTGAGGGTTATAGATCATTTGACAGATTAACTCACATTGTAGATTGAAAAGAATAAACATGCGATATCTCCAATGTCGACGTACAATCTACAGTCTAACTGGCAAATGGGTACTTGTTTCATAATTTATTCGTCCAGATTATGATAAGTTCACATCCAAGATAGATGATAAAATTTTCTTCGAATCAAACAAATAAAAGATCAAATCTTAACAATGATAGATCTAATTTTTTGGAAAAGAAAACAATGCTTTAGTAAAACTCACTGAACATTGCTGCGTTATTTTCGGCCATGCTGTAGGCAAAAATAATTTAGATTAACTCTTTCTCACTAACAATTCATTTGATTAACATGAAGCGATATTACCGATGGTTGAAAGCACTATCACAAACTATAATATTTTCGGGCGTTACTGCCTTATAACTTACAAATATTAAGATTGAATAATTAAAAACTCATGTCTTTAAATACTTTCAGAACTTGGAAAATTGGAAAAAAAAGACTTTTTTTTTATTGAGATCATAGATTTACAAGATAGATAGTAGATCATTCACAGAATTTTCGTAATAAATGATGTTGAAATTTATGCTGATGAACTTGAAATAGGTTTTTTTTTCTAAAAACAGAATCAGATTTTTCGAGCAGCTTGTTACTTTGAAATATTATCCTTAAATTGATGAAAAATTAAAATACTTTCTCTCATGATCATAAAACAACGAAATACTGTATTTGTAATAATAGATCAAACTATTACAGAGGTATTTCATATTTTAATTAACTGAATATTAACATATTTTATTTAAAAACTAGAATGAACTTTTTTCTGCCTTTTTCTAGCCCAAAACTGCAGCAATCGAACGAACGAAAGAGATAGAAAAACATTGGATACCAAAATTATTTGAAGAACATGAAAAATATCAATTAGAACAAGTAAAAAAGGCTCTCTTTCAAATTATTTTCTATATGAACTCATTATCTCTTGAATACAAAAGGATAATGATCAAAAACAAAAGATGTATATTCTACCCATGTTTCCTTATCCATCTGGTCGTTTACATATGGGTCACGTTCGTGTTTATACTTTAAGCGATACTTTAGCACGTTATTATCGAATGCGAGGCCATCGAGTAAGTGTTTTTGTTTTAAATGTTTAGATTCTTTGTTTTATGATCAACTATCAAATAGGTTGTTCATTGTATTGGTTGGGATGCGTTCGGTTTACCAGCTGAAAATGCTGCTTTTGAACGATCCGAAGAACCTGATCAATGGACAAAAACGTATTTGATCGTCTTCAATTGATTCAGCATAGATGTTTTTATTTTCTCCATAGAAATATTGCTTATATGAAACAACAAATAAAACAGCTTGGTTGTAGTTTTGATTGGAAACGAGTAAATGATTTGTTTTGATCTAATTAATTTTTATGAATAATTAACTTAGGAATTATCAACATGTGATCCAAATTATTATAGATGGACGCAACATATATTTCTTATGTTATATCATGCAGGACTAGTTTACCAAAAAAAGGTTTATATTCATTCATTCATTCGTCATTAGAAAATTACTAAATCATCTATATCTTTTAATGATTTAGGCAGCTGTTAATTGGGATCCTGTTGATCAAACCGTACTAGCAGATGAACAAATCGATGAAGCTGGTCGTTCATGGAGATCTGGCGCAATTGTAGAAAAAAAATATTTAAAGCAATGGTTTATTCGCACGCGCGCATTTACGCAGGTAAAGATGATTACGTTTCTCATTAGTAAAAATAACATGCGAAGATCATTGAATATTTAAATATTTAATATCAAATGTTAATCGTGCGAAGTACCATTATTGTTTAGTTAAAATCTAAAAATAATTTCTTAATTATTCCACCTACCTTTACGCAATCATCAATAGAATAGACAATTTTTTTGTGTCTCTGTGCGTAGTTATGAATTGTGTTTCATTTATTCTTTCTATAACCTTGTGTTCTATGGAATAATGAACACTCCCCTTTTTTACCTTCTTCTCTTAATGAGAAGTTTCGTACTTAGCGAAACAAATAATGCACATAAAAAATATTATTCAACGAAAACACCTTATAAGTCACCATCGTCAACAGTATTTTTACCTCCACCACCTACGGGTTTTGAACTCGTATGCGTACAAATTGTTGCTCGACATGGTTCTCGAGCATTAGAAGGTCGAAAATATGATAGATTAACAACAGAACTATGGAAACAAGCAAAAGAAGAAAAAACATTAACAAAATATGGCGAAAAGTTCGGTGACGATCTTCAACACTTTATCGCTGCCAATGATAAATTAGGGTTTGTATTCGAAATGATTTAACTTTTCAAACTCTCTACTTTCTTTATATACGATAATTAAATAGACGTGGCGAACTTGCTGGACTTGGTAAGATTGAGCACCAAAATCTTGCCCACCGTTTAACTAATCGTATTTTACCATTATTTACGGAAGTTTTCTTGAGTAATTCATCAAGACGTATTCAAGTTATTGATAGTGGTAAATCTCGTACAGTGGCAAGTTTAAATGCATTTGTTCAAGGTTTACCATTACGCATAACTTCTCTAATCGATTATGAACCAGCAAATCCCACTCTGCTTTCTTTCTATGAGAATAATAAATATCAAACATATATTAAAAAAGAGAAATATATAAAGAATAAACTTCGATCCATTCAAATGCAACCATATTCAAAACAAATGGCTCGTAGTATACTTGAACGATTATATGATGAATCGTTTATTGCTAGACTTACGAATGGATCATATTTTATAGTCGATGTTGAATCTGGAAAATCGATAAGAAATGAAGTAGATGCTGTTCGTATGCTTCATGGCCTATATTTAATTGGTTCAAATCTACGAGAAGAGGGTGTTGAATCTTTATTAGAAAAATATTTTAATGTAAACGAATCAGCTTGGTTTGCTTATCTTCAAGATGCAAAAGTAAATATATATTTATTCAAACAAAAAAAAAAAGGAAGAAAAGGAATTTTTTCAATCAAATCAATTCTAGGAATATTATGAAAAAGGTCCAGGATATACAAATCAAACTATAATCAATGAAATGGCTCAAATATTACTTGACGATTTCTTTCATCATTCAGAGCAATGTTCTCAAGTAGATGCAAAATATTTTCTTCGTGCACGATTTGGTCACGCTGAGACTATCATCCCCTTTGTAACACTTCTGAAAATACCTATACTGAGTGACAAATCAACATCACTTAATGAAACATATACACATGAAAATAATGGTTGGCGTGGTGAATTAATTTCACCTATGGCAGCTAATATTCAATGGGAAATATATCGACGTTCTAACAACAGTACACCAGATAATATTGCGCAACATCAAATACTTATGCGAATGTTATTTAATGAATATCCTGTTCCGTTTAAATATGAATGTCAACCATATAACATGAATAATCATTATTTCTATACAATTGATGAATTAAAAAAATGTTATAGAATGAATGAACTCTAAGTGTTCCGCTTTATTTTTATTTTTGCTGTTGTATAGTTTTGTCTTTATTCCTTTTCTGAAATATAATCTTTTGTGTCCTTTTTATTTTCTCTTAATAGTCTCTCTACGATAGTCTTGATACATTAGACAAAGATGATTGGCAAACTTTAATTAATATTCAACGCATGTGGGTGGGAGAATGTAATGGAGTTAATGTACTTTTTAAACTTTCGGTATAAAAAAATACACCAAAAAAACAATAAATACTATGCTGTTCTATGTTTATGTTAGATTCCTACGAATGATTTTGATTTTATTGAAACATTTACAATAAAACCTGAAACTTTATTAAATATTACACATCTCTATATACAAAGTAATCATAAATTAGCTCGACCAGATTTAATCGAAGTATGAGAAATGGTTTTTCTATAAATAAAACGATGTTAAAAGTAAATTTTGATTTTTTGTAGCAAACTAAAACTGGTGCGAAACGTTTACGTATTGATGCTATTCATCCATTGACAGAACGTGCACTACCAATTTTTGTTAATGATGACGCAGATTTTGGACCTAAAATTCGAGCAAAAATGACGATGTTAAATGTTCAAATAGGTAATGATAAAGTTTAACTAGTTTTGTAAATCAAAAAATATCTTTTGATTATTTTTAGGTACACCGATATCGAATGACTTCGATGAATCATTTGCAAATAAACATAATATTTCCACACTTATCGATTCTTCATTACATTGGTATCGATTAGATTTAGAAACCATACTTGCAGAACTTCGTTCACGTGAACTTGGAGGTTATCGAACATCTGGTAAACTGAGTGATTGGTGTATTTCACGTCAACGTTATTGGGGTACACCAATTCCAATAATTCATTGTAATCATTGTGGTGTAAGAATATATTTCGTCTTCATACATGTTATCAATCATTCATTTTCGTTTTTTAGGCTGTTCCAGTACCAATGAATGAATTGCCCATACGATTGCCTTCTCTTGAAAATATAAAATCTTCATCAAAAACAGGTATTTCACCATTAGCTAATGCTCATGATTGGATAAAAGCTCAATGTCCAAAGTAAATACGGATTTCCTATGGATGTGATTTATTTCTAATCAAAATGTTTTCTTCTTAGATGCGGAAATTTAAATGCTAAACGTGAAACAGATACAATGGATACATTTGTTGATTCATCGTGGTATTTTTTACGCTATTTGGATAATGATAATACTACAAAACCATTCGAACCAAACATAGCTAATAAATTAATGCCAGTTGATCTCTATATCGGCGGACTAGAACATGGTAATTAGAATTTCTTAACGTATGTTTTTTTCCTAATTTTTCGTATTTGAGAATAAATATTTGAAAACGTTCGGTTTTTTTTTCTTCACTAGCTTTAACACATCTATTTGTCTCTCGATTTATTCAACATTTTATGCATTCGAAAGGCTTGTGTACTTCTATTGAACCGTTTAAACGATTCATTCCAATCGGTAAACGAATTTTTATTTTATTATGTTTTCATTTTTTCTTTACAAATAGTTGTCTCTTTTTTTAAGGCATGGTTCAAGGTAAAACTTATAAAACATTAACGGGTCAATATGTTGCAAAAGATAATGTTACGACTGTGGATAAAAATACAGTCATACATTCTTTAACAAAAGAAGTCTTACAAATGGATTGGGAGAAAATGAGTAAATCGAAATATAATGGAATTGATCCACAAGAAGTAATTGATCAATATGGAGTCGATTTTACCAGAATACTTATGCTTACATTCGTTCATCCAAGATCACTACGCAATTTTAATTGTAATTATAATCTCTTTTTCTTTTGTTTTCAAAAGGAAAAGATAGATACCTTTTTGCATCATGAACAGCTCAACACTTAATCCTTTCAACCACTGATTAGTTTTAGTATTCAAAAAAACGAATATTTTAATGACGAAATTGATAACGATTAGTTTGAGGTCTTCTGAATTTATTTGTAAACTACTTTTCAAATTTAAGAATGAAAATATTATCTTTATCGCTGGATCATCACATTGTTCAGAGACATTGAACGAAAATAATTCTTTTAAAAATAGTTGATTGTTCAAGCGAAGATTTTTCGATCGGTTCTTATTCTATACATCTTGGTTTGAATGAATATGAAAGACTTGAAGCATTCTTCTTTTCTACTGGTCTTACTTCCCATATGAAAGTTTCATGATGCTCAATCAGCAACGAGAAAATATATTATGCTAATAAATTGTAGCAGGAAGTATCGAAAATTTTTAGCTAAAAAGCGAGGTATCAAATAAAAACAGAATCATCACGTTTATCGAAGATTAAATTCCAGATTCGTTTACTCTGAATTTCCTTCACTGCTAATTTTTCTAAGGGCAAATTACTGATTTAAGTGTTATTTATTTCTATTAGTTTAAAAGGAATATAAAATGATCTGTTTGAGTAAATCAATAGTTTTTTGGTCTCTTGATAAACTTCTAGGTCGAAATCATTGAAACTGATTTATGTTACTTTGATCAATTTTGATCAAGGTAGAAGTACTTAATTCGCATTATTTGAAGTACAATAACTCAGCTTACTTTACGGGTACTTCAAACACACTTCATTCGCTATTCATTCGTGATTTAAAGTGTTGGAGTAATATCCTTCTTCTCTCCTTGGTTTTGACACTCTCAACAATATCAACCTTGGAAAGATAAAAATCCTTCATCTTCATTCTTGTATCATCATGTCGGAGGCAGTTCAAATGTCAAACAAAGAAAGAAATAATAGACTACTAATTACTAGCGTACATATTGTTCTCTAGTTATTTTGTGGCGCAGTAAAATCCGTTGGTTTTGAGACTTAACATTATGATGAGATTTTTGAGGAGTAATCACAATTTATATTTTAGTGGAAGATGGTATTGCTGAAGGTTTACAAAATTGGTTTAAAATTTTAATTAATCTTTATGTTGAATTAATTGAACCATCAACCAAATCGCGATCAAAATCAGCAATGACTAATGAAGAATTCAAACAAATCGAAGCAACAATACGTGATCAACGATTGAATACTATTTATACTGTTGCATTTTATGTCGATAGTTTTTTCAATGTAGCATCAGCTATTATTGAATTACAAAAACTAACACGATATCTTCGAGTAGCAAAAAAAATCGATTATTATCGTATGTAAGTTTCATTTTTTCTTATTTTAGAAAATTCCAGCCAATGTCAAAGAACAATCGAATGAATATTTAACCGCACTTTGTGATTTATTAGTTATAATTGGACCCGTTATTCCATGTCTATCGTCAGAACTTTGGACGATTCTAAGAAAACAAATCAAACATAATGTTGATGGTTATGATCTGGTAAAGAAAATTTAAAATGTTTTTTTAATACAAAATTTCGCTTTTATTAGAACAAAAATTTATTCGAACAAAACTATCCAAAATTACCTGATGATTATCCAGGAAAAATCAATGCATTGGTAATCAACAAAAAATATTTATTAACTTAAATAAGTAAAAATCAAATGAAATTTTTTTTCAGTATGATACAACAATTTTTGCTTCGATGCCAGTATCTCGATCGGTTCTTCCATCTTTATCCGCATCTGATGTTCTTAAATGTTTAAATGAGAATGATAATCAATCTCAAATGAAAGCATTTATTGAAAATAATGGTCTCAAACTTGATCGTTTACGTAAATTAGGTGATTACTGTGCAACACTTATTTATGAACGTGATCCAGATGTGCCCATTATTGAACAGCCAGAGGCTATCGTTGAAAAGAAGAGAGGCAAACCATCAAAAAAGAAACAGGCTTCTTAAATTTTGTTTTTTCTACGTTATGTTGTGTGTTCTGTTTTCAATAAAAATACTTTCCCAAAAGAAAAAAAAATGGCATACTAAAAACAAAAATTCGGCTACTATTTAACATTCTAGATATGGCTAAAAATGAAGTAACCATTCTTCTTGAACTTCTTGATCTTGATTATTTAAAACCAATATTAGTTGATCGTTTCAAAAATATTAATGTCCTTGCATCAGCAAATCTTGCTGAAATTGGTATTGAAAATCAAGATCATCTTACTAAATTACAATATGCTCTTGATGAACTTCAACACACTCAAATTTGTATTGAAACAATGGACCCTGTAATATCATTTAATGATTGCAATCAAATAATAACACGTCTTGAAAATGAAAGCAATCTTATATCATCTGGTCTAAATTTATTATTAAACAATAGTTCTAAAAATTTACCGAAAGATGATGCAACATGTGATATTGATTATAGTTTATATAATTCAAAAATCGATCAAATTGCAGCCGACATAGAACAATTACAAGACAACACCGATGAATTAGTTAAAGAAATCGTAAAAAAATATCGACCATCGGAACAATCATCAAGTAGCAATAGAAATAATGCAAATCAAAATTGCCTAGAAACTTTTGCTATTTTAACTCTATCTATTTTTTGTATTGGTTTAGTATTCTCAATTAAGCATCAATAAATCTATAATTGTGGCGAAATTAATACATATGTTTTTACATCCGTTGAATATAATAATACATTCATACGTGCATACGTGCTGTGTACACTTCATCTTGTTTTGATTAAATGAGAATTCATTCAATGTATGGAGAACGTGTGTTTCTAAACAAAAACGTATAATGATCGAATAGTATGGTATAGCATGTCTTAAGACATATCCAATAGAAGAAACAACTAAGCATCAGTTGTGATTCTAATCTCTTCAATTGTTCAATCAGCATTCCTCGAACGTTATTTTTTTCTTTTGTTTCTATGCATTATGCATCTTTTTCGGTTGCTTTGCTTCTATGTTCAATGATTCGTCATATTTCATTTAACACTTGTAACTGATGGTTGAAGTTCAAGGTGAAGAGGATAAGATATACACAAGAAAGACAGAATACCTATGTATTTGTCTAGGCCATTTACAAGCATTTTTATGACAAAAAAAAAGCGCTAGAGAAAGAAAGAACAAAGTGATGATAAGGAAAAGAACAAATATATGTATTTGAATAATGTAGTACACTTTCGATTTTTTTCGCGCCCTCTGTCTCTCTCTCTCGCTCCTTCCTCTTCATCCACACTCTTAACATCCCTCATCACGATTGCTACCACGTAACCTATATAATATATGTACCATAATGCACCCGGCTGTTGTTGATGATGAAGCAGCCGATGAGAGAAAAAGATAGCCAGACAATAGCTAGAGAAAATGAGAGAGAAAAGAAAACCAGTCGGACAATGCTCATTCGAACATAATAGCTTATGGTAAGGAGCAATAGTAAGAGTGAAATACAAAAAAGACAGAGAGAGAGAGGGAGCGAGAGGGCGAGAAGAAAGAAAATATAATTCACCACCTCTGCGCCCATACACACACACACGCATTTACAATGCATTCTTCAAAAATCAGCCATTTAAATTTACAACCATTACTTTTCAATACTGAGGTAGGTTTGATAATTATATGAGAATTCTTTAGTATCGTCACCAAGGCCATTCATCATTATCCTTTTCTTCGCTTTTTTTTTCTTCTTTTTTTTTGAGACGAAAAGACTCGTTGTTAGGGTCTTCATNCACCAACGCAATCTGTTCCATCACCCACCCCCCCCCCTACTGAAGACTTCATTAACCTTATTGTTTATTCTTATCGTAACTCATGTCTAGATTGTCTTATTTCGATGAAGACCCTAACAACGAGTCTTTTCGTCTCAAAAAAAAAGAAGAAAAAAAAAGCGAAGAAAAGGATAATGATGAATGGCCTACATTTATAAAGAATAGTATACCGTAGTAAATTGAACATACACATAGAGTGAAGAGAATATAAAAGAAAATAAAAGAAGATCATAATTTAACCCTATCCTGTTCTGAGTAGTATACTTCGTCTGTCATTTTTTCTTTTCTTCTTCAGCATGTCATGGTTGAGGTAGTATATACTTAATATACTACTTGATGAATTTTCACACATATGATTGCATCATGCATCGACTTATGTTGTTCAATCATCTTACATATATATGAATGCATTGAACAGAAAAAATAAGAAAGGAGTGTTAGTGTTAGTCGTAGTAGTAGTATTTTTCTTTTCATTTATTTCAAGTGTTCGATTTTAATTTTAGATATAAGAATTGTTTTTCAATTGAAATTCAACTGAGAAAAAATGTATCATCGAATGTATTTACGCCGATGTTCAATGTCTAGTATAAGTGAAGAATCAGAAACGGGTGATGATGATCATCTCGACGATGAATTTGCTGTATGCAATGATGATAATAATAATAACAATAATAATAATAATGAACAAGAAAATCGTTCTTCAACAAGTTTATCAGTTGAAAATTGTCTTGGTGATTTGAATAGCTTTAAAAAAGTAAGAATTTTCGTTTTGTTATTATTACTTTTGTATACAAATTTTCTTCCTCTTGACCGATCGTCAAATTAGCTAGTCGTCCAAGCATAATCGCGGTTGCTTAATGATCTCAGTCGGCTTGCGCTTTTTATTGATTAGTATATGTCCTTTATAAGAACGATGATTATTCTCTGATGAAATGACTAGGTATCTTTTATGCATATTTACATATGCATACAGACATATATAGTGGCGTCATATTGTCACATTTGGGCTTGATTATACCGGATGTGCGTTAATAGGGCACATGTATATGTAACAGATTTATGAGTCCATTTTTTTTCTTTTTTGGCACGACTAGCTATGCAGCCGGTGTCCCGTTCTTCTCTCTGTTGGCTAATCAACATAGTGATAAGAAATGTTTCATTGTGAACATTTTTTTCTCTCTCTGAACATAATGTAACCGTAGGGTTACAAATGTAAACGGAAATCATTTCGGCTCACATCTGCACCGGTATTTTGAACAATATACATATTTATTATTATATATAAATTTATTTTTGTTTCTGTCTACTTTTTATAATTATTTTGTATGATAGGAAATTCGAGAAGCTTATGAAGAATTATCCACATTAGAACGACAAGCTCGAATTAAAACATCAACATCATCGACAATTTCAAATATTCAAAAAGGTAAATAATCGAATGTTTATTATTAGTTTTTACTTATTGATTAATAAATGCAAAGGAAAGGCTAAATATTGATTGAGTATTACACAATCATTCACTTGAGACCAAGGCAGAGAGAGAGAGAGAGAGAGAGAGCAAGAAACGAGTTGATGCTATATAAGCATAGATAATAGAAAACATTGTATATTGAAGAGATTAATGAAGAGTGGAAATACAAAAGGACATTTGTTAGTGCCAAACTAAATCTAAGACATCTACATGATATTGGATAATGAAGGGCAATTTGTTGACGAGAAAATAACGCAATATAAATAATCTAGCTACCTGACGTTCAATTTGTTCGAAGTTGTTCATAAAGTCTCGTATTCTAGTCTAAGTATGATTAAAAAAAAGAGAGGGAGAGAAAACAGTTTGCTTTCATCGGTGACAGCCGTCAACAATAAGCGTTGTTCGGACATACATATCCGAGCAAACAAATATAGGTCGCGAGTTGATTGATCACAAAGGCAAGTATTTGAACACGAACAAAAGAGTTTTATTCTCAGGCACCACTTAGAAATGATGATGAAAAAAATCAATGATGAAGAAGAAGAGAAAGCTACTCAGACAGAATGAATTGAAGTATAATGAGAAAGTAAAGAAAAAAATCAATCAACAATTGACGAGACGATATTCAAATGAGAATCAATTCAAATTTCTATTTATTTTTGTTTTTATTTTATTTTAGGAGATGATCTTGACATATTACTTGAACAACTTCATACACTTGAACAACGATTAGATCAAACTAAAATGTTTCCTAATGAATCGCTACATCGTAATAAAAAACCACTTTCACCCACTATCGTTGCACAATTTGATGAACTTGACCAAGCATTAGCTACGCTAACTAATACTTTGAATAGTGTCGAAATTGAATTAGGCGATTCAGGAAATAGTTCATCATCGTCAGCAGTAAGTGATTCAACAACGATTCATCATCATCAAAGACAGAATGAACAAGATAATAAAAATCCTGATATTGAAGGTGATGAACATTTTTCCGATAGCGGTTTGTCTCAATCGACAGATTCAATCAGTTTACCATTTAAACAAAGATCACAATTACGAACAAATAGTCAAATATCAAATGCTTCAAGTGTAAGTAAAACAAACATTTTCTTACGTGTATAGTTTTTTTCTTCTTCTTCTTCTTCTCAATATATCTATTTAATTTTATTTGAAAGGTTGTTTCATGTGATACATTGAAAAATTTTTCTGGCGAAAATAAGATTCTTGTCGCATTGGAAAAAATGCAAGAAGCGAATATTAAAAAAATGTTTGTCAAAATTTATAACGATGATAAATCAACAAAAAATATTCTCATCAATGAAACAATGTTAATATTTGATATAATTGTATTACTTCTACATAAATATCATTTAAATCCAACATATAATTATTCCATTGTTGAAGATTTACCGGATTTACATATATATCGTATATTTGAAGATCATCAAAATTTAATTAATGATGGCTTAGTTTATTGGTCACGCGATACAAATAATCGTATATGTTTTCAACAACATGATATTAAATATTCAATGTTCAATGAAGCAAAGAAATTTTTTTCTTTACAAGAAAAACTATCCGATGATATCTTAACTAATTATATATCATCGAATAGTATCTATCTACCTGACAATATAACGAGTATACTTCATATTAAAGATAAAAATCGAAAAATTTGGAAAAAATATTCATGTGTGTTACGTCAATCAGGCATATATCGCATGCCTAAAACTGTATCACCAAAGCGTAATCTTATATGTTTGTTAAAATTTGATTCAAATATGCAATTATATCTTGCTAAAGATTGGGTTGAAACCTTACATTCACCGACTCAATACGGTTTCGCACTTAAATATGCACATATACAAAAGAAATCTAATAAATATATTCATTATTTATGTGCAAGTACATCTGACGAATATCAACGATGGATAAATGGTATTCGAATAATACAACATGGAATACATTTATATAAAAGTTATGAAAAAATGAAAAAAATCATCGATAATGAAATTGGAAATCTTTCGAAAATATTACCTAATCAACATAATTTTAATTTTATACAATCAAATGCATCATCATCCATGATGACAGAATCAATGTCAACTATTTCATTACCAATAAGAGGCATGAATTCAGATGTAAAGAGGTCACTGAATAATCTTGAAAATAGATCCATGGAAAAGATTTTTAGTTCGTTAGGTAAATCGATATTTGAATTTTCTATTATGAATTTATTGTGCCTTTTTCTTCCCTCTATTTTAGATCGTCTCAAAATATCAAAAAAACATTTTATGCGTTCATCATCATTTCATGATAGTTTACGTCGCTCAAATAAAAGCGAACAAAACCTTATGCGAACATGTTCAATATCACCGCCAAATTTATCAACGATGAAAGCTAATGATTGTGATCTCAAACGTTCAAAATCAACAAAAGAAATGACATCAAAGTCAGCACAAACATCTCGTTCGAAATCGACGAATAAAAAAGATCATCATGAAACTACTAGGAGTTCATCAACATCATCGATTATTCCTTTCATTCATCAATGTATACAACCCGAAAAAACAATGGATGACGATAAACCACCGTTGCCACCGCCTAAACGGCCACCCCCTCCTGTTCCTAGAAAAAACTCATCGCTTAACACGTCAAAAGCAACGCCATCAGCAACAACTGTCGATAATCATATCTATGATTCATTTCAAGATAGTCCGTCGTTAACAAATAATTGTCGACGAATATGTTCATATACAAAAACCGATGATATTGAAAATTCAATAGTATCTAAACCGCTTTTACCTCCTATGAGAGTAACAGATTTATAAAAGAAACCAAAACAAAGTGTTGATGACCGGTGATCAATCTATGCTTATAATCAGTATCGGCCAGCAAAACAATAATAACAAGCAGCCATTATGTTTTCTTTTTCTCACTCGGAAAATCTTATATATTTGTGGATTTTTTTCGTTTCTTCTTTTGTTTTCACATCACAATTTATTATTTATGCATCAAGATGTCCATAAATACGTCGCAATTTTTCTTTCTTATTACGATTATTATGTTTTTTCCAAGGTTTTCCATCTGGATGTTGGCTCATTGGATCGTTCATAGTTTCGCCAACTAACATGGGAGTACTTTTTCTTGTGTAATTTACTCGACCATGAATACCTTTGCTACCAAAACGTACATCAGTCTACAGAGAAAAAATACGCATAAAATTCAGGACAATGAAAAGAACATCAAAGAAATTTACTGGATTGAAAAATTGTCGATCGACTTCTGACGGTTGAAAACGGGATTTCTAAAAATAAGAATAAATGAAAATACAAACGTGTTTGTTGTTGTTTTTTTTCTTGTAAATAATTAAAATTTACTTTTGGTGTTGTTTCATTTGACGTAGTTTCATCTTCGTTTGTTTCGATGTTAGTTTCATCGACTTCAGGCTCGAGCTCATACCGATCAGAATAGCGTTGAAATTCTTGTGAATCATAACCGGGTGGTGGATAACAATACAAAAGTTTTCCATTGACATAATCTTTTAGAATGAGACGAGCTGCTCGACTTCCATCTGGAATACCTTTATGAGTCATAAAACCTCGTCGATCTAAAGAAAATGTTGATTATCATTCATATACTTATCTAAATAATATATTGTCTTTTTATTATCCTTAATTCAATTGAGAAAAGAAAATGTCTTATCTTGTCATATCATGCCTATGATTTGGACCTCATTGATCAAGATAAGAAAAGAAAGAACGGTTACATATTGACACCAGTAATTTCGATCTAATGTAAGGAGCAATCCTTTTCTTTTGTTTTCTTTTCGTGATGATTGATTTAGATAGTATACGAAAATGAATTTCAGATATGCAAAAAAAAAAAGAAGGATGATGATATCTTAATATTCTATAGATGTCTTAGTTATTCTCTGTCCTTTGAGGGTAGTTCTTCTCTCTCTTTTTTTTGCAATCAAACAATAGTCCAAGGTGATTTATCATATCGCTTTTATTCAAGTGGAAGAAGTTAATTCAAGCGTTCACACATTGTACGAATCAGGATTATTGATTAATATAAGACGTGAATTACCGAATAGAATGAAAAAATAGATTGGATATGTGGTATTTCATTAGTTTCTATTTGTAGCGAATCCATCTTGAAAAACAAATCAGGTCATCAATAGAACATTGGTGCTTTTTTTACTGTATTTATTTTTCATTACCGAGCAAGGACGATGATACACGCCTGATATATCACATTAAACTAAAGCTCACATTAGATTACTACCATACGTGAATAACCATTTTATACAAAAGGACAACAACTGGAGTGTGCACTATAGCTCTCAATGTTTTTACAGAACGGATGAATTTGTACCAATTAATATAATGCAGGTTTTCTAACTTGATCTGCTTCAAATCTATCATCAAAATTTATGATAAATCTTTCAGAAATTATAGATATTCTATTCCACGGAGTCATTCAATTTTCTTCTCATTCTATAGGACATTATTTCGCAGTACCTATCCTTATCAAATTAATTTACAAAACAAAATACGCAATCCGATAGATTTTCATCTTGTAGTCAAAATGCAAGCGTTTCTTGCTGTTTCCATGCGAAAAAATACTCGCTAACCTTTTCATTGTAAGATAGACTTTCATTATTAGTCCTAATCGATACCATATATTCATCTATTAGCATCATTCACTAGTCAAAAAACTTCTATATCTCTATGCGATCGCATAGTCTTGTTTACTTTTTACTTAATTAAGAATACAATTAAAACACTATACTTACAAGCATACGTAGCACAGAATTCTACGGCTGTTGGTGGTCGCTTTTCATCTTCGCCTTCTTTTGGTAATGGCAACATAATATTGTAGACATATGAGAGAACAGTTCGTGGAATCTGATGACAAACGTATACTATTGAGTTAAGGATAAATAGAATGCTAAAATAAACTAAATTAAAAAGAAAACATATACAAGAAAAAAGGATATCAGGTTGATAGGAGCGATATAATCGCGCATTTGATCAATTGGTAAAATTCCATTGACAATCAATTCATCTTTCGTCGAAACAAATGATGGAAAAACAAGACCAGGGCAATCACATAGGAGAAGATCTTTTTCAAGAAAAATCGTCTAAAAATTAAAAAGCATGATGGCATAAAAGAACTTTTGTGTTCTAAAAAAATTACTTGAAAATGTTTAGTTTTTCCTGGTGTTGATGATACTGAGACTTTTTTATATTGCAACAAAGAATTAATTGTTGAACTTTTACCAACATTTGGGTATCCAACCTATTAGTTAAATTTACAAAAAATTTTTTTCGTTATAAAAAAAAGTAACTTTATTGAATTACCATTCCAATGGTAAGAATATCTTCTCGAACAGTTGTTTTATGAACATATAAACATTTAAGTAAATAGATCAGTTCTTCTCGATTAACAACAATCGATAAATTCTTCTTTTTTGTTTCATTGGATTTTTCATAAGCATAAATTTCTTCGCGAACTTGTTCAACAAGATCTCCGTCTTCATGTTCTTTGCCAGATGAATCTTCTTCTTCTTCTTCATCATCATCATCATCGTCGTCGTCGTAATTTTCATTATCATCCGAAGGTAGTTCATCATTATTTATTTTGATATCTGTTTGTTGTTTTTCATCACTTTCACCTTCTACTTCAAGAGCGTCAAAACGATTCATTTTTTCCGGCAATTTCGATATTTCAAAATTATCATCAGTATAACTGGTTTGATTTTTTTTAATATCTTGAAGGATTCTATCTGTATCATCAATACACTCGGAGTCATCCTTGTCGAATGGAACTGTATTAGTTTTTTTTGACGATGGAGCTGACTGTAATGCGGAATAGAATATTACACGGATATCATGTTCATCAAAACAAATTGCCCATGCTTGTCTAGATAAATTAAAATGCATGAAATCAGAGAAAGTTTTTATATTTTAAATTACCTTTGCTCTTCGGTTAATAGATCAGCTTTATTAACAAGAATAACATTGACTTTTTTATTATCTGGTGATAATTCACGAACATAACTTTCTAGATCTTCACAGCGGAACAATAATGGATTTCGTGCATCAACGATTTGAACAATAATATCACTACGAAAGATGATTCATTTGGCACATGTGATTATATTATATTTATGTATTGGCTAACCTTTTTTCAATAACTCTCCATAATTGTCGCCAAAATTCGAGATTTTTTTCGAAGGGTGTCAATGTTAAATCATCGATTTGTTGCAATCTAAAGTATGTAAAGAAAATGTATTGAATGAGAATTTCACTAGTCTAAAACCAAAACGATCATTATGAATCATCAATTTTTAGGCAAAATATTGTGTTTGACTTATCATTTTTTTCCCGTAGAATTTCATCAATAAACGATATTTAATTGTTAGAACTTACAAAGCTAACTTTCGTCTCCAATCAAGGAAACTAACACGTTCTTGTTGATCAATTTGTTCAGCACTCATTTCAGATGTCCATGCTGGTCTGAAAAATCATACAAAAAAAAAACACTCATAGAGAATTTCAAAACAAAAACAGCTACCTTCGTGGAATACGCAATCGATCTCGATGTAATTGTTGTACTTGTCGAATACGTTCTTTATCGTCATCAGATAGTATTCCAACTTTAGCTACAGCTGGTACAAATGTTACATTTAAACGTTCTAAAAAAGAAATGAAAGAGCCCAACATAAACATCTCTCAATATCATCATCATAATAATAGTAACCTGCTGCAAAATCTGTTCCCGCTAATTGAGCCGTAGTTAAAAATTCATCTAATGAATTTTGATCAGTAACGGATCGTAGATTAAGTCGATTCCAGTCAGTAGTAGTAGTGAAATCAGGTTTTTGGTGTACCTATTAAAATGCAAAGTAGATCTTTATCATAATATTTATTGCACTCTACCCATTCATCTCCATGTGTAGCACGGCGCTGATTAGGAAAACGTTTTTTAACTAAAGATCGTCCAACTGCATTTTTAGGATTCGACATTATTTGATGTTGCTTTCTCTCTTGTCTTTTTATTTATCTAGAAAAATTTTAATTGTTTTTTTTATAACTATTTTTATAATTATCAATACATAAAAAAGAATTCAAAAATGAAATTGATTTTCAACGAGTGCACGTTGTAAATGATCAACTTTATCTGCTTTCGAAAAATTTCCTAATTTTTCTGCTATTGTTACTGGTAACATTTGTAATTGTTTTTTAAATTCATCCATTTCTTTAACATTTTTTCCAAGCATGCTCATCATTTGCCCATAACCCAATGGTAAATCTTTTTCTTTTAAAATATTTCCTTGTAATTCATTCACATCAATTTCAGGTAAATTAATCATTAAACGATGAATATTTGTTATTTTTCTTTCACGTTTTTCACGCTCATAAATTATTCTTGTTATTATACAACACAATGTACAAAAAAAGCATATTCCCATACATATGAAACCCATCATCATTGAATATGTATACGATATTGATGGTATCAACAGACGATTTGAACTAGTCATCTTTTATCCTTTTCCTTAACGCGCGAAAAAAGAAAACATGAATTTATTATTATTTGAAATTTATTTGGAAATTAGAAACTTGCTTCTTATGAATCGTAAGCAAATAAACACAGATTGAGATCGAGCTTTTTATATACATCTGATCTGACAAGAAAAATGACTATTGAAACAGTAACAAGAACTAATTAAGACGATCTGAACATTTATCTATATATAAATTAAGACTATGTCTTTGCACATTATACAGAACCAACAAAAAAAAGAGTAAGTAAGAGAAAGAACAAGCACAATCTACATTGCATGATTTGTACACATACCAATAGCACAGAAATCTTCATTTCAGAAAAAGATTTTTTTGTTCGTCATTGTATAAATTTTTATTTGCAAGTACTCGGTACAACGAATAAGTCACTATACGAAGGTAGTGGATCATTCTCAGATGTAGCTAGAAAAAAAAACGTAATTAATTAACAACTAAACTTAAAACATAGATTTGAGAGATGATAATTGTCACTCGACAGTATGATTGAATTTCGAGACCAATAGCTATTCTAACCGAAGAGTTAAAGTTAACATTCTCAAGTTAATGTTTTACTGAAAACGGAATAGTTACTTTGAAAATATGAATCACTCTTTCGATGTAATAGATGGTGCGAAATGAAATCCGCATATATAAATGCGAGTTCATTTTTGTCTAATTCTCATACCTTCGTCTATCAAACGGTTATTCTATCAATTCAGAAGATTTATATTCAAAAATTTCTACGTTTAATTTGTTTTGTGAATATTACTTTGAAAATAATCATTCTGTGGAGTCAAGGGTGTTCTCATTGTCGCTTCATATTGTGGTGTGCGTCTATTTGTATCTGTTGCACAATTAATCCTAGATGAATATTGAGGAGTAACTGGTGTACTTCTTTGTCCTATTGTTGGGAAATTCGAGCCAGCTGCTGCTTCAGAGATTTCAGGTGAAAAAAGTGAATCTTAAAATGTTACGAAAAAAAAAAGAAAATATATATTTCAAAATATAAAATTTAAGGGCTAGAATTTTACTTGAAAGAGTTAAATGATTGTCAAGAAATTTTGGTCGTTTTGCTCCAGGTAAAGAAGTTGAATCATTTGGTGCTGCATCAAGCATAACACGTAACATAGTATCTATGTCACGGCGAGTTTGTATACTATTAGCAGCAAAATTTGATAAACCATTATTTGAATCCGGATCATCGCCACGAGATAATTGATCAATGAAACTCTATCAAAAGCGAAAAACAAAAACAATGAACAATATTAAATAGAAATTATTAATGATTACTTGAAGTTTCTCGAGAATAGCCATTTGTACTTTAAGATTATACAAACCAATATCACAATACGATGATAAACCTTGTTTCAATTCTTTAGCTGCTACTTGTTGATGTTTCGACCATTCCATTTGTACTGTAAAAATACACGTCAATGTTAGAAATGTTAGAATTTCACTCTTTTCTTCTTCATCAAACCTTTTGTTAATAATTGATTTTTTGTATGATCAGAGCAATGATTTGTCACAGCTTCTTCAAAAATAGATTTTGTTTTATCAAAATCATTTGATAAATTATCATTTAATTTTTTTAATGCTTGTTGAAGTGAATTCATGGCATATTCTATTTTATTATCATTGTAGTACAGAAATATCTACCAATTAAAATTTTCTTACCATTAAATATTCGTGATGATAATTGATGACGCATAGCTAACGAATCTATTAAACCAGTAACTTCCTAAACAGATTTAAAAATAGTTATATTTGAAAGACAATCTCAATTCAAAATTCTATTACTTGTAATGGTTTACAATCTGATAGTTGCCCAATATCATTGATAAGTCGAGCAACTAAAGAAAATCTTATAGAAAAATGAACGAAAAAAATCTAGATTCTTTTACCATGAATTTCAGATGCAGGACTATCAAAAGTTCGTTGTGCAAATTTCTTTGTACGATTTATTTGACTTACTGCTGCTTGTACTTTTTTACGGTATTTTGCTGCATTATTCAAGAGAATTTCGTCATTTTCAGTAAGTCTTTGTGATTTTCTTCTAAGAAAAAGAAATTTATTCAGAATCAACTAAGATTATAGTTTCTTACGAGAACCGTTTGCGCCATGTTGACATCGTAAATAATTCTTTAACAGATACGAAATTGTTCTCTTAAAAAATTTTTCGTCAATTGATCAATTTAAAGAAGATCACTGATGAATAGAATACAAAGAATCGCCTTTACAAATATAGCAATTGGTACAAAACATCAACCAATTGAAATACCAGCGCTACTATCGCCTAGTGACCGATCGATGGAAAAAAATTTAATTTACGCTAGAAAATTCTAAAAACAACTACGATAATGAATTTAGAACATTGAATTATAATTATAAAATATTTTCTCATTTATTTTATTGCATATTTCGATTACCGCTCAATGAGTCTGGTGACACTTGAAAGATAGTTCAACATGCTATAAGAATTGCGAAGTGACCACTATTAGTTTGCGGTAGACGTTTGACCTTATAACCGGTGAACGATCTTTCTTTTCTCTATTCTTGTTTTATCTTTGATGTAAGTAAGAGAAACTGTGATCATTCAATCGAACAGTAATGGCATTGGACTTTTTGTCTGTTCAAAATGAGTCTGTTTGATTATATTGATCACAGATTTACTTTTACTTGTACCGTTATGTTAGTTATGTAATAAAATTTGAAACTTATACTATGTCATATTGAAACAAGAGCTGACGCTATAGACATTCGTGTTTATTGATCTGAATTGAACACTGAGTGTTTTTTTTTCTTCTGTTAATTAGCTCACTTCGTGCATTAAACACTTGTAGAGTCAATATTTTGAATTAAACTATTTCTTTTTAATCAATATATATGCACTTTTTATGTCCTACTTGTTTATGCGAGCGTCACTCGGATGATTTTTTTTCTTACAGTTTACGAATCTATGAAGTAGTCGATATTTGTTCCTCTCTGAACGTTTGAAGAGTAACGTTGTGATTATATAAGAGTATAAATACTTGATGTCTTTATTGATGTAGCTATGCGTATGATTTCGAGAGAGAAAATAGCTGTGATCGTTATGAATTTCAAAAGCCATATAGCGCATAGTGACTGTTATGCATCATTTATGAAATTTATCTAGTTTCTAGAATGAAAATTGGAACAATCCTAACAACTTTGACAAAATGAACACTGGTCTATTGATTAACTTTTAGTGTATATTTTTCTTTCTAGATTTTATGATATTTATATCAGTATTCTTTTTTTTTCTTTTCAACATCAATTGATGAACAATACGGTGAAGATAAGCATTCAATGTTCTCGGATGCAGTTCTCTTGAAGTTCAGTATGAATTTGTCATATATTATGACATGATAAGTTTATTCTAGCAGTAAAATTCTTGAAAAATTCTTCAAACAGTAATCATCGTCAAAAACAATAAGGAATCGTTGGTAAATATAAATAACTTTTTATAGTGATTATCTATTGTGAGTTACTTCTATATTTGTTAGATTCCTATGTATGGATCTCTTTGTATATAATTGTATATCTCTTCTTCTATGTTTATTATTATTCGATAAAATTGATTCTCAATTTGAATGGATTACCTATGATAAGATCGATGAAATCATGGATAAAATAAATTCTGTGAATAGCGATAATTGCTTTGAAAAACAGCCAAATGAACTTGTTTTACCAGACGAAACTGTTTATCAAAAACCATCTATTGAAATGCTTAAAAGAGATATTATAATGAGAAATCGATCACAGTTATTGCACGTTAGAAATATTGCTCATCGAAATGCCATGTTATATAGTTATTTATTCCAACGTTTATTTGACTTTGAAGAACCCGGTCTTACATATATACTTTTGCATAATGCTGGTAAGTTCACATTCGTAGAAGGCCACGAAGACGAATATTTCTGCGATTATTCTTTAGCCGATGTAACTGGTGGTCGTGGAATGCTTAATGGGTCAGGAATCTTTTTTGATACAAATAAATATTATCCACATTGGTACAAAAATTTTTTCAATAAAACAATACCATTATTTGGTCCTTATGCTTGGCGAGCTGATGATTTCTATGGTAAAAACAAAACAGAGCATTCTGAAACAAGTATTCAACAAAATATTATGCTATTTTAGATGCATTTAACTGGAAAAATGAATGGACTAATCAGACTATTCAACAAGAAGATATTGGTGCAGGTCGTTTTCATCAATATACATCACGATATAATCGTGGGAATGAATGGTATAGAAAATGGTTACCAGATGAAACGCGAAATATTAAAAAAAAACGTAATTATGATCCAACTATGAAAACAAAATCCAGTTTACTCTATTTCTAATTATCGTTTTTCTTGCAGAAGAACACTCGAGTAATTCTACAATGACATCACCTAATTTAACTGATGATAAAAACGAAAAAAAAGCAAAAAATCAAAGAAGATTGATCAATGAAAACAAAAATGATACGATCCATGACAATGATAATGATGATGATGGTGATGATGATGATGATGATACCATGAAACAACGTATAGTGCTCTTTATATACATATAGATATTAATCGATACATATTAGATTCTTTATTCATTTATTCGTATATTTCTTTCACATTTTGGTGATTGCTTTCTATAATTTCGATGGTGATTCGTGTCGTAGAATATTTTTATTAGTCAAGTAAACGAGAGAGTCATAGCAATATAGATACCATTATTTTATATAATCTTTAATAAAATCATTGGTTTTTATCTATAAAATGTGTCTCTCTCGTTCATTCTTGCACGTTTTCGTCTATTCGTTAATTAAATATTAGTTTCACTATGGTATATTTATTTGTTCATTCACTGTATTACGAATATTTTTATATGAATTATAAAAAAAAGTATATTCTTATTTCGCAGGTAAAGGTGTTCATACGGTACAATTGTTATTAGCTGAAAGAATGTATAAACTTTATGATATGCCACAAATATTTGACTTTTTGGGACCACCACATCCCGAAGATCCACTTGGTAAGTTATTTTATATGAGAAAATATCTAGACAATTTTTACTTTTGACAAGGTCCAACTATTTGGACACGCCCATATTTTGATTGTGGTCGATCAAATAAATGGATCATTAGTGCTGTTTCACCTATTGTTGATATTTATCCGCGCCATACAGCATATCGACATTTTCAATCAATGCGTAATTTAGCAGTTGCTGTAGCTGATGCCGACTTTATCATGATGGATATAAATCAATGTCCTGAAACTGATCAAATAACTGTACAATCGAAACAAACAAATCTATTTGCCGGAACAGATAAATGTAAGCCAACAACACGTTGTGAACCATTGTTTGGTTTTGGATTTCGACGTGGTGGTTATCAATGTCTCTGTCAGCCTGGCTATCGTTATCCGCCGTATCAAGATGGACCATTTAAAGGTTATATTATCGAAAAAGCTACACAAGAAGAATATGTCAATAATTTTGATTGTATTAAAGTTGAATGTAAGTACTATTTATTCATTAGTCATGTTTTTATGTACACTAATCTTACGGTTAATTGGAGTACAAGTTATCTTATTTCAAAAACATAGTCAGGAAAAATAAGTTGTCTGATTTCAAGTTATTTTTTAAAATATATTAAATAATTGATTCATCATTGTACCAATTTTAAATTAGAAACAAAGATTAGAATTATCGATTTACAAAAAACTGTCTTTTAACTATATCACTACCTCTCGCTGAAGATATTCTTTTTTCCCTGTATAATATTTCCAATGACGACCATTCCAAACCATAGCAAGACTGAGATTCCACCGACGATCATCTGGACTCCCATTGTAATAGTTTGTAGAATTTTTTCACCGATGTACTGTATAGTTCTTTTAACTGACCAATGATTGTGACTCATCGATTCAAAGTGAACGGTCTTTTCTTCAGTTAAATCGAGTTTAGTCCATCCAAGATTTTCTTCGGTTTTTCTAGGTTTATGATTGTCTAATGAGATAAGATGAGCATCACTGCGTAATGTGTCTGATATAAAACTAGTAGACTCTTGGTAAATCTTAGGTGGTACAATTGTTGCCATCGTAGATTTTGAAATTGTTATTGTCGATAATCTAGGTTTTCGTTTTTTCAATGAAATTAATCTAAGACAAGCAAAGTAATGCATTTGCTTAATAAGACATTGCTATGTAAAATAAAATAATGACAATGTATGCAATCGTTGTTTTAGACAGTGAAATGCTAAGATAGCTAACTAGCCTATCACTACGTTGACTAAAGAATAAATAACGAAGACAAGCAGTCTGTTAAATCAAAATCACAAGAGAAAACTAACAGAGTCAAGATGAAAATGTTCATATACGTATATATCATCCGAAAGATTAGAAGCGATACATTAAACTAGCTATGAGAAATATCATAACAGAGAAAATTGAATAGTAAAAACGAAAAATTTCAGGCGTAATTGCTGCCACATCGCAAAGAAAAACAGATGACTAAATAACGACTCAGTAAAATCAAAGTCAATCACGGCGAAAGGACGAATAGAAGAGAAACACAGTACTTTGAATAGGAAAAAAACAATATGCTTCAAAAGAATTAAAGTTGCACATGGGCAAGGGGTAAAGAACTAAAAGAATAAAAAATAGAAATAAATTCGTGAACTGTTGCATCGATTTCTACTATGTCAGTTGTACTTGAGGAGATTTCGTTTGGTTGTTTGTTTTTTGATAATGTTTCAGAACAATCTTGATCGTTAGCTAAGAACAACTGAACAGACTATTCAGAACAAACAAAAGCTAGCGCAATTAAGCCCTGAAAGATTTGAACTTAGTTTATCAGATTAGAAACGATCCATTAATTTTTCAACTATTCACACGATGAGTATGGAGAAAGAGCTAGTTTTGTCATTTCACTCACGCCCAACCAGTATTTTATCAATGTATCATTAATTTTTCGAAAGATAATTTCTATTTTTCTTGGGCTTTAGTATATCGACAGTACCCACAATATTTCCTTCAATCATATTTCGGATTATTTCCGCCGCGTACACGTCGATCGACTGATTATAATAGTGATCTATCAAATAGTTCCATTTATAATAATCTAAGTAAGAACTCTATGTTACCATTACCGACCGATTCTGGTACGTTTTAATTTTAATTTTATTCTTTCACAAAGAAGTTTTTCTCTTATTCAGTTTCAAAAGTGAATATAATAACAACATTATTAGCAACATCATCCTCTATATTTAAATCATCTATTTATCCAATACTAGCATTATCTAGTCATTTTATTGCTAAATTTCTCAGTTATAAACAAGAAGATCATATAGAAAAGCTTCGTTCAAAACGTGCCACTTACGAATATCCAACACGTATTGCATCGATAATGCAACTTTATAGTCATCTAAACTATAATCCACATATATGTGAATTTATGACTGAAGATTTGTTAACGATGTCAGGTGATGTTTTACATGATGTTGATATCCAATTCGAATCTCAAGCACGTTTAGCATTAACACTATCACATTTTCTCTCAAGTTTTTATCAAATTGTTAATTCTGATGAAGACTTTCCGTTGCGTAAAGCTGAAGTTGATTTAACTGATGAACAATTAATTGGTGAAGTCTTAGCGGCAGTTGCTAGTGACCATAAAGTTGTTGGTGTTGGCATTTTTTTTGATCGTGGAAAATTTCGAAACTATCGTTTACCTTATTTTGGACCCTATGCTTTTCGAATAGAAAACGATATTAATCGAAAATATGCTGTCGTTGATTGGGCAGGATTACCTGATGGTTATGAAAATGAAATTTGGTTTCGAGTAAAGAAAAATCATTATCAATGAAAATAGTTACTGATACTTTTCTATTTCTTACTATAGACAATGAAAGCTCGATGGGCAACAAATGGCGATCGTTCAGAACTAACTGAATATTGGCTTAAATTATTTATTCGTGCTGATTATTTCGGTAGTGCATTAGTTCCTCATGAATCTGGTTTTCCACTATATTTTCATGCACCAGAATTAAAGTAAGAATAAACACGAATGTTTATAGTTCATTATTAGTAGTCCTATGCAATACATTTTCAAACTTGGATCTTCATAAACATACGTCAGACTTTTTCGATACGTGATCGGCATAAATGTTTTTTAGTTTCTTATATATAAAAATTTGTTTATGAATGTATTTCTAACGAGTGAAGTTTCAGGATGAAAATTAAATATATTCTGTAGTAGATAGAAATATTCTGAGTTTACATTTCAATGACGGCAGGTTTACTTGAACAACTTTGTATTTCTATGTTAGACATGGTCAATGGTTCCCACCAAGATTTCAGTGCAGTCAAAATCATACATTACCACGTCAATGGATAGTAACTTATGCTGTGCCTTTTTTTGGTCTTGATACACTTGGAATTAATATTGAATTCAAGTAAAATTATAACTTCATGACTTTCGTTTCATTAGAATGATGGATTCAAATTTTTTTAGAGGCGTCGTACGTATCGATACTTATTTAAGTTATTTGGATATCAATCAATGTTCAATGTCTCATTACGTACCAAATGCATTTAAAGGCAGTGATCATTGTGATTATCAAAGCACACTAGTATGTTTTATTGTTGTTATTATTTCCGCTCGATAATATGATTTTTATCAATCTATTTAGTGTGAACCCATCTTTGGTCGGGGTTTTCTTTTAGGTAAATATAAATGTCGTTGTCGACCTGGTTATGAATATCCATTTCTCGATCAAAATGATTTCTTTCTTGGCGACGTATTGGATACGCAGTGGGATATATTGTTGAGTAACACGTCACGAATATCAAGTTATGATATACTTAAATGTCGTATTGCTATTGCTAGCTCCATAAAACCAATTAGCTTTATTCTTCTAATATCAAGTATTTCATTGGCAATATTACTATCTACATAATCTGAACGTATTTACTTTGTTTTCATATAGTTTGTGTTTCAGTATGGATTACAAATCCTACTCATGATTCTGTGCCTATTCTGTTCTTTTTAATAGTGATATTAATTTATGTATTTTCTGTGAGGATATTGTTGATTGTTTTGTTTTCTCCACGAAGAATCTTTTGTCTTTTTTTATTTCTTGTTTGTTTAGTCATTTTTTATATTGCTTGTACAAACTCACAAATGTTGAGGTTTATTTTTTTATTAAGAAAGAGAAGTAAACTCTAAACGATGGATCGTCCAAAAGAAATTTTTTTTTTGAATGTACAGCATATGGTAGATTGTTTAACGGTCAACTTCACCAAAGACAATATCCAATGTTCCTATAATAGCAACTAAATCAGCAAGCATGTGACGACGGGAGATACGATCGAGGGCAGCCTAATTATAGAAAGAAAAGAAAAATCAAAAAAACTAAAAGTAATGCAATAATCTATTTACTAAATGAATAAATCCAGGAGCTTTTATATGAACTCGATATGGTTTCGATGTACCATCGGATACAAGATAAACACCCATTTCACCCTAAATAATGCATATAATGATTTAAAAAATAGTTCAATATTTACGAAACTAACTTTTGGTGCTTCAATAGCAGTATATGTTGCACCAGGTGGAACAACAAAACCTTCACTGAAAAGTTTAAAATGATGAATAAGTGCTTCCATTGATTCCTAAAATAAAAATGGATTAAAGTTTGCTCGTTAACTTTCATTAATAAACTTGCTTTCATTTCTGCACGTTTCGGCGGTGTTACTTTGTGATCATCTACCTAAACACATTATAGAAAGCAAAACGATAATTTTGTTCATAGAAAATGTTTTTTCTCACTTTATATTCTCCACCTGGCATTTGATTGATACATTGTTCCATAATTCTTAAACTTTGTCTCATTTCTTCCATACGACATAAATATCTAGTAAGAAAATTAGTGAGTTAGAAAAAGAAAGATCAATTGAATTTGCAGTTATCTACCGATCGAAACAATCACCGTTGACACCAATCGGTACATCGAATTCAACTTTGTCATAAGCATCATATGGTTGCGATTTTCGAATATCCCATTTAATACCCGAACCACGTAGCATAACACCCGAAAAACCGAGATTAAGCGCTTCTTCTGCTGATACAATACCAATGCCAGCTGTACGTTGCATCCAAATACGATTTCTTGTTAAAAGATCATCGACTTCATCGATACGACGAGCATATCCTTCACACCATTTATAGACATCTTCCATAAAGCCAAGTGGTAAATCAAATGCAACACCACCGGGTCGAACATAAGCAGCATGCATACGAGCACCACTAACACGTTCATAGAATTCCATTATCTAAATTACAACACAATCAAAATGTATTACTCTCTTGAATTAAAATATTTTTTAATTATGAAAAATAACCTTTTCACGTTCTTCGAACAGCCAAAAAAACGGTGTCATTGCACCAACATCAAGTGCATGACAACCAACAGCTAGTGTATGATTAAGAATACGTGTCATTTCTCCCATTAAAGCTAAATGAATAAAAAATTATAGTATAATAAATAAGAAAAAAATTCGATATAGACATACTTCGAATATATTTTGCTCGTTCAGGTATTTCAATACCTAGAAGACGTTCAACCGCTATTGAATATACTTGTTCATTTGTCATCATTGAGCAATAATCAAGTCGATCAAAATAAGGTAAAGCCTAAATAGAATAGATTCTTAAAAAACTAACGTACAAATTAAAAACAAAATGCAGAAAATCGTCTATTGACTGATAATTATATATTTCCTCAGTAATGACATTCGATAGAATATTATTACTAAAATTCGCCGATATAGAAATACATGAGTATTTAATTCTGTGTTCACTCTCGTGAATTCGAAAAAAATAATATCAACTTCGTATCTATCACTTTTCGTTTCTATTAAACTTAAACGTTACTTTTCCACTTCTCTATCACAATTACTATTTTTTACTTGAATATATGTTTTATATTCGCAGAGTTTTTCTGTTCCACGATGTAAAAGTCCAATATGTGGATCAGCACGTAAAACAGTCTAGAAAAAAAGAATTTTTCAACTATTTTCAACAAAAATTAATAAAAAAGTAAACTAACCTCTCCATCAAGTTCAACAATAAGACGAAGTACACCATGAGCAGCTGGATGTTGTGGTCCAAAATTAATTTTGAAGTTACGTAACTTACGTTTTGGTGGTGTTTCTACCATTAGTTCTAGAAAGAAAAAACGAAACCGTTTCTAAATACGAAAAGCTAAACAATAAAATAAATACCATTTCGAAGTGGCTTTTCTTTCCATTGTGAATATTCAGGATTTGAATAAAAGTAGCTTCCTTGTGATAAATAATTTTGTTGTTCTTCTGAGCCCAAAAACCATGAGACCGAACGTTTTTGTTCGATATTCTTTGATGTTATTGGGGCCAGTAAAAATGTATTACAAATGGATTTTGATGAACGTAAAAACCATTGAAGTGGCTTTCCACTTAGCATAGCTACTGCCATAGCCAGTATGAAAAATAATAAAAAAGCGAACTTAAAAATATTATAGAGCCATTGAGAACATCTATCCATTCGATTGGTTGATTTATTCTAACCAATGATAAGCAAAATGATTATTAGGGGGGTAAAGTAAGTGAACAATAATAATAATAATAATTATTTTTATTTTTATTATTGTGTTTGATCAACTTGATTAAAATATTTATTCAAAATGGATAGCGAAGATGATAGTGATGATGAAGTAAATGTAATTGAAGAATTTTTTCAACATTCAATACGAAGTGACATACCAGAACAGTTTAAGACGTATATTGAACATTTTCAACGATTTTTATCTCCACAAACAATTACTTACATACAATATTGTTTATTACGAATACCATTTTTACTTGCTTATGATTATCTATTTACCGATCAATTTTCATCATTAATTAATTCTTTTTTAAAATATTCAATCGATATAATTGATAAAGAACATCGAATATTGTTTAAACCAATTAGTTATATATTAAAAAGCTATTTTTTTGAATATTTAATTTATCTGAATGTAATTTTATCTCTACCAGTTTTAGGTAAGATTATCCTGTAATGAACACAAACAAAACAGAATTAATTAAATTCTTCTCTTCTTTTTGTCTAGGTTTTATACTTTTAATTCTTTTATTGTTATGTACTAATCGACGTCTAGTAGTTTTCTACAGTTATATTATATCATTATTTGCTATCTATCTAAATTATCAAATAGTTCGTCTGTCAACATTTCAAATAAATACGTTTGGAATTCAATTGATATTTTCATTGATTTATATTCAAATGATAAATGTACGTTCTCATCTTAATACATATAAAATTGAAAAACGTTTATGTCAATTTTCCCCATTGTTATTCTTCTTCACACGTTATTTATTTTCATTGAAGTTGCATACATACATAATTCATTTATATTATTTTCTTTGGATATGCGTTCATTTATTTGGATTAATTATTTCTCAACAAGAAACAATATTTTATATAATAAGAATACGATTTCTCAATGAATTAATCAGTTTATATGAAAATTTTGGTATTCAAACATTAGTTAGTTCTTTACAACAACGAATAGATTTTGTTACATTATTAAAAATTTTTTGGCTAACTAAAATTATTATTTTACCGTTCGGATTAAGACAAATGCATACAACTCCATTTGTAGCAAATACAACGATAAACATGGATGCACTTGACAATAATATAACGTTGGATTATAATGAAACATTCGCTACAACAATCTATTTTACACTTTTATATTATGGAACAGAAACAACATTTACGTAAGACGAGTATTTTGAACAAAAAATAGCTAATCAACTCTTTATTCTTTTCTATAGTTTGATTAGTCTTGCTTGCGTGGTTTCTTACGGTATGAAAATAATTTCTCATCGTTTATTTCGTCGTTTATGTCTATGGTCAGACGATGTTGAACAAATCGGTACTGTTTTCGGAATAATGTTTTTTCTTTTACTTTTTCAATCGAATTTAACTCGACTTGATCTTAATCGACGACATATTCCTTTATTAAAAGCATTCAGTTTAATTATTATTGCATTATTTCATCTTCTCCATACAATTCTTGAGCCAGAATTATTTAAAGTTGCAATGCAAATGATGACAGTAAAAATGGCATTTGATCAAACCGATGAGTATTCAGAAGAAAATATGGAAAATAATAAAAAAAGGTAGATTAATTATTCATAAAGGTCTTAATGAATTGTTTTCTGTAGTGATCCCAATTCACAATTCTATAAAAAAAAAAAAGATTTCTTATTTCAGCTTCTATTATTGTGTAAGATTATTAATTAAGTTTCAAACTAAATTTTGACTAAAAATGAAATCTTATAGATAGGCATATTTTTTTCTTTCAAAACCAAACTTCCTACAAATACTCATACTTCAAATTTATTCCGAGTATAGTACATAAAATATGCATTTTTTGGTTGTGCAAGAAGAAAAACTGTTTCATATAATTTCTTAGAATGAGTCCGACGTGATAGAGAATCGACGACTATACTCAAATACGCGAAATAGTTCTTTCTTTTTGTTATAGTTGATCTTTAATGTAAACATGAATAGCCCTGCCAACATTGAATATATGTTTAAGTCTTGATCAACACTATTCAAGTTCTACATTGAATTGTTTTGAATATAGCTAGGGAATAATTTATTATTGAGATTTAATAGCATTATTTCTAGAAATGATGAACTCTGTTCTAAAAAAAAACAAAGCAAAAATAGTTCTTTTTAGAAAGCTCTCTTTATTCATTTATAATTTAAAAGAAAACCTTTAGCCACTAAGAAAATTTGTCGTAATTTCCGTCTGCTATCGGATAGGATGTCGTAGTGCTACTGTACAACATTACAAACAGATAAAACTGTAATTTTCAAGTTGTAAACTGAGTCCGAATTAATTAAATAATTTCTTTGTGACGGTCGATGATGGCTCCTGAAGTCTGCGATGGTCTCTAGAGACTCCATACACCATACACCATAATACAGGCCGTGACAGAGAAGCTCCACAGACCGTAGTAGACGGATTTCAGAAAAGGAGTTTTATCGTGTTTCACATTTTAATCCTACAGAGATTGCGCTAACAGCTTCTTTTACTTGCAAATATTGTTCATAACCAGTTAATGATTTTGGAAAATAAAATAATTTTGTCAGCAATCGAAATTTGTGAATTAATTCATTCGAGGCTCGTCAGTACTTCAAAGTTTCAAATAAATTTCCCCCTATTTCTAGAACCACATATTATTATATGTTGGATCAAATACAAGTGAATAAACTACAAAAGAGTAGGTCGTCTAAAATAAAAGATAGCTTCTTTTAAATTAAACATCATGAAAAAGCTTTAAGAGACTTTGTAGTTCTAAGGATTTCATACCCTTCGAATGTTCCGAACGCTATGAAGTTGAGCATATTAATGAATAATGTGTAAAAAATTTGAAAGTCTAGTGCAATATACTTTCTGCGTAAAACATGTTCGATAAATTTCATCATCCGCAGAAAATACGTTTTGGGCTCAAGCACAATTTTTACTGTTTCCTACAAGACAACATCGAAATTCCCAGACCAGTTCTTGTCATGCAATATTTAAAAAATAGACTAATACAAAAGCTCTCCAACATTCTTTTAATCTATGTCACGCAGCACTCCGTTATGTTTGTCTTTAGAAAAGCAACACCTGGCTGAAAACATCTTTTTCTAAAAGTTTCTCAAGAAGAAATACCCGGCAGTTGTTTAGCTATTAAAAACACTGATTCGATGAGATTATATTCAGACACGCAATAATATTGAAAGGAACTCAACAATGAAATTAATAACCTTCTCAAAATATTTAGTATTTCTAGACGAGTTAAATTTTTAGAAAAACAAAAGTCTAGAAAATTAGCTAATCTATATTCTTTAAGGATTTTCAGACAGGTATTCTTTTTATGATTCGAATCTCATGAGATATTTTTATTGAAATAAATTGTGTGGTAAATTCCAACTTCGCCGAATATAATTTTCGCCGACTCCAACTTCGCCGAATAAAAATCTTCGCCGAAAAACATCGAATCAAATTTGATCCATTCTAGATATAGAATTTTATCCTAACTAACTACTTTAATAGTGACTTCATTAATTAACCCCATCTGATTTGGTAACCATCTAACGTGGTAACCAACTGACTTGGTAGCCAACTGACTTGGTNCCCATAACCACACCCACACACGCCCACACTCACATCTACACCTGTTGGCACCTGTTTAAACAAGGCAACAGATATAATTGACTTGGTTGCCAAGTCAGTTGGTTACCAAATCAGATGGGGTTAATTAATGAAGTCACTATTAAAATAGTTAGTTAGGATAAAATTCTATATCTAGAATGGATCAAATTTGATTCGATATTTTTCGGCGAAGATTTTTATTCGGCGAAGTTGGAGTCGGCGAAAATAGGCGTCGGCGAAAATTATATTCGGCAAAGTTGGAGTCGGCGAAAATAAAATTCGGCGAAGCTGTACTAATTCAATTGTGTCATTATTTATTTTTCTGAAATTATTTAGATCAATGTTAAAATTATATTTTTCTCGAAATTTCCTTCATTCATTTCATCATCGACATATTTATACGTGTTTATCGATTCTATTCATAATTATATCTTATACCACTGTCCTCTGGAATTTAACAAGCATTTCAACATGGCTTTTAGCTGTGACAGCGTTTTCATTGGAATTAATAGTACGCCTTCTCGCATCATTGGCTCAATATACTCTTTATGTACTTGATGCATATCGTTGTTTATCAAATGCTGATTCATTTGATGAATATATATTTCGTATAAAAGCAATAACATCATGTTGTGAATTTATTCTTGGCGTTTTTCTGCTCTGTAATGGATTCTATATTTTATGTTTTGAGGCTCGAGGCGCATTACGCGCATTTATGCTTGCTATACATGCACATTTAAATATAATAAAAAATTTCCGCCGTGGTTGGCAGATACTACGTAATCGAAGATCAGCATGGGATAATGTTAATCATTTACCATTGGCTACGGAAGAACAAATTCAAAATTATAATGATATATGTTCAATATGTCATAATATTTTAACAATCGGTAATACATGTATAACACCATGTTCACATTTATTTCATCAGAAATGCTTACAAAAAGCATTTTATGCAACACCGAATTGTGCCTTATGTTTACGGCCAATTGTTACCAACGAAAAAAATGGTCAATAAGAGTAGAAAGACAAGCGAACATTGTTGTTTTTAGTATTTTCATTATGGCTTTTGTGATGAAATAAATAAATCATATATTTATTTTAATTTAACTTGTGTATAAGATAAATTATTTTTTTTCAGATGACGAAATAAAGAATGGAAGCATCTACAAGTGTATGCATTAATAATGTAAATTTCCAATTTGACATTTACTGATTTAATTTAGACACGCCCATCGAAATCAACAAGTGTGGCCGCTTGCTTTTGGACTAATCCAGAAGTATTACAATGGATGAAAAATAGTTTACCTGAATTATTTAATAAATATGGCGGCTTTTTTAAAGCACATGGAATACGAGGTATGTCATATGTAAATAGAGTTTAAGTCTATGAAACTTTTGCTAAAACCTAGATGTTGTTTTTGTTTTGTGGAACTCACATATATTTTCGAAGAAAATGGTGAGTGTAAGTTTAAAAACGAGATTTTTGCGGGGGGGGGGGGGGGGGGGGGGGGGGGGGGGGCGGGGNTGATTACAGACACTAATGAGTTTAAAATTGTGCTAATTCGGAGCATGACTAATTACGCACTACACGAAAAAAGCAATGCTTGCCCATTACAGACCATAGCAAATAGTCTCTGCCATTGTTAAATATGCGAGTTAACAATTAATACTCTATTACAAACATAGGCAGTGACCTAATTATACTTTTTGGAAATCAAGGTAGATTTTTCAGATGAACTATTTTGAATTCTTTTAGTAAGCCTAAGGGATATATGTGAGTTCCACATTTTAGCCCCAGATAGGCTGCGTTAACAAACTTTTTTTTATCATGGTAGATCTAGATACACAATTATTTTTATATTGTGTATTACAGGTTTGAACAATAATCATAGTCGAGTATAGTGTGACTTAGTCTTTTCTTTATCATGATTACGTCAAAGATATAAAGTCATGTAGCAATCAAAAGTTTTTATTAAATTTCCGTCGAAAATTTACAGCTGATCGATGAAATATAGCGAACTAGGGATATAAAGTTTGAGCCAAATGAACAATACCACTCGGTATAGTCAGTGTAGATTAGCAAAACTTAAAAAAAATAAAAACAGGCACACTTTGATGAAGTGAACAGCTCTTTATTGCAACTGATGTCAATATTGACGACTCACTGTGCAGCATTTACACCTACATGGTCCTTTTGTCTAATTGACTTTGACTTATCATGTGTATTTACAGACGTATGTTCAACAGTTTTCTCATATTTATCTAATAAAATTCAAAATGTCGCTGTGGCCAAGTCATTAAAACTTATGATTAAACAAATCTGTACTCAAGAATCGCTCATATAAAGTTAAGTGAACTGATAAATGGCATTCATGAATTAATTTTTATTTTCATGCATTATGAAGATTCGACATGATCTCTATTCCAGTATATTCTCATAGAAGTTTTAATCACTAAATTTGCTGAAATGTTCCGTAATTTTGAATTTGGTCGAAAGGAAACGTGTTGAAAACAACTGTGAGAGTAGTAGGAATGTTTACTGTCATAGACTATGCTTATTGCCCGTTTTACTATTCGAGCAAATGTGAGTTAATCGAATTTTTGCATTAAAAATTCTTTTACTCGACTTTTGTTAGAATTTCACTTAACTCTTTGAAAAATTCCTTGAATTTATATATTCGAATATCACATCTTTTAATGTTCAGGTAAACACTAATTGAACGAAATTCAATATTTTGTTGTAATAACATGAATTGATTTTTTTGTTTCTGTTTTAATTTTAGGACGAACGTTATTCATGTTAAATGATAATCTTTTACTTGAAATGGGTATAACAGATTCACAAGATAGGTAAACATTCTTGATAATAAATAGATAATTGTTTTATTGGAATTATTTTAGAGCGCAATTTCGTATTGAAATCGCCAAGTTAAAAATAAAATCTGATTTACTTACATTGAAAAATACTCATCATAAAGGTAAAATAGTTTTTATTAAAGTTTAAATTAATGATTTTTTGTTTTAGGAAATATTCGATTTCTAGAAGAAAATCCAATCAGTGAATCACCTCAAAATGAAAATATTTAGATAAATTAAAATTTTTATCTTTGATTTTGTATAATTTTTCTTTTTATCTAATATTGATTTAATAAAATCAATCTATTATGAATATTCACATTGTATAATACAGATTCATTTTTAGATTTTTGATATTTGCTAACATCACAAATATTGTTTGATCCGTAAATGATTAATATTATTTTTTAACGATCATTATTCGTGTCTAATAGAAATATTTATATTGGAACAGAAATATTGTGATCTTGATTAATACGATCAATTCTACACTATTCGTATTGTAATCGAAGTTCAATTAACAAATCAATTATTTTTTCTTTCATATAGGTAGTAATCTGGTTTTGGTATGTAAAAATTCTAAAAACAACACATCGATCATATTTTAATATTCACTTAAATTAATTATTCATGTTTCTTTCCTATCGAATTTAGATGTTGGATAACATACGGAAACCGTTTTAATAGATAGAATTAAAAATGAATAAAGATAATCAGATATTGAATAAGAATATAAACAGGAAAGATATAACCTATTTAGATCGTATGTGTAGATTTTTTTATTGTATATAAAATGTTGGATTGATTCAAATTTTTAAAATCATAGTTTCTTAATTTATTAAAACGAACGAAAAGCTCTGTAAACTATTTGACTATCAACTAAAATCCTTTTGATGAGAAAAATAAGGTCATGGATTCTTTGTAAAAATATTTCTATGAAGAGCATCAAATTAACCATCATTTTGTTTTAATTATCTATCCTCTCTCGTTTCAGTTTTATAATTGAGTCTGAGAAAAATACTAAAACACTCAAGTGAATTTTACTCGATCGGGTACGATCGGAAAGGAGTAATGCTGATGGAGTTCATACATACTCTCTAGAATTCCGACGAAACCTGATAATGTGATCGTTCATTCTTCGAAAACAAAGACTCTCGCAACGATCATATATGCCTTCCGAACTTGTCTGACTTTGACTAAGCCTGTACGTTCTTACGCGTATCTTTTACAAGTGATTCCTCATAGGAAATAGCATGCGTCCAACATGTGTTAAAGTAATAGGAACAAAATGTCAAACTAATATGCTGATCGTGATAAATTATTGTGTTTAGACAGCTAGGACAAAATCAACAGCAAAGGATGCTGTAGAATCTGGCATCAAGTTTAACTTTATCACGCTTGTTCAAATAGAGATAGAGATAAGCGAGAAAAATAAAAGCTGAAACGGCATGCTTTGTACTTCGCGTGCTTCACGTTTATCTTTTTACTTAATTATACAAGTATTAAAAAATTTGAAATTAAGATAAATCCAAAGGAGGATAGTCTGGCATTTCATCTCTCTAAGATGAATGGAAAATCTTTCTCGTTGTTATTTCTGTTTATGTCTTGTTGATTGCATTTTCCTACATTACTGAAAGAGTTTTATTGTAGCTGTTTCGTTTTTCCTTTCAATTGGCCAGGAGTGTCAAGTTTCTAAATCTGACACAGTCTGTTATTTTTTTTAATTAAACTGCCTTTTTCAATCATAAAAGAAATTCTGTAAATAGATTAATATTCTGCGAAAACTTTTAGGTTTATCAAATGAGTCACCGGGTTTTTCTCTACTTAGCAATTAGAAGTTTCTAAAAAAAAGTCCTCTTAAGATTCGGTAACTAGATTAAAGCATGAATCTTATCTATTTTCCACAGGATATTAAAATTAATTGTATTTTCAGATACACTTAATTTAAAATGTCTATTTTCCACTCAAGAAAATGCTTAACTTCAAAAAGTCTGTCTTCGTTCTATCTTTATTGTAAATAATTGGAATTTCGGCTGTCAATATTTTGTCGTTCAGAATTAATATTAGTATGAAGTCCATAAGAAGATGAAAACTATAATCGGTACTATTTTTTGTCTTGTAAAAATCTATCAATCATTGTTCGAAAATATTTTTTATTACTAAAGATATATGATTGATCATATTCATGTTGTATCAAAACTGTTATTCATTTTAGATTACATACAATAATTTTAAATTTCATAGTTTCAACGTCAAATTTCACGATCGAAAACGGATTTATTTTTCTTTGAGACAATTTGTAACATTTCGTTTTTCAATGTGAATATTAATCAATTTGTTCGTTCAAGAACCATCACTTTCATTTTTTCTCCTTAGATATCATATGCTGCGAAGTAAATCTTACTTGAATGAAACAAATGTTTTGTTTTAAAATGGTGAATTTTGTTTTTTGTACTTTCGTTTCTTCAATATACAAGTTCTTTTCAGGGTCATGGAGTTTCATCTGATACAACTGGTCATACAATAGTAGAACAAAATTCCAATGAACATTATCTTGGTCTTGTGAATGTATGAGTAGAAAGAAATTAATTTTTATTATTATTGGAATAAAACCTCTAAGATCTTTATTGTCTGTTATAAAATATGTCAGTTTCTTATGCTGAAACCATGATGATATTTCCAAGAGCTTAGTTTGTCACAATTCTCAATCGGTAGAGAACTATCACAAAATAAACTCTTGGGAAAGCATCTGGATTTGGTTTCCATTTGAGTAATCGAAATCTCATAATTTGCATAAAAAGCAAAAAATTGCCGTCACTCACAATATTTTCTATTGATTGCTTTTAGTTTGGTAATACGTGCTATTGTAATTCAGTGCTTCAAGCTCTCTATTTTTGTAAACCATTTCGAGAACGTGTATTAAATTATCGTTCGACACAAAAGAGTAAAAAAGAAAATTTGTTAACATGTTTAGCAGATTTATTTCATATGATTATCTCTGGTAAACGACGAACTGGAGCATTACAACCCAAAAAATTTATTAATAAATTACGAAAAGAAAATAGTATGTTATATTTAAATTCTTGTTTAGTTTTAATGATCATTTCTTTCGCAGGCACATTTGATAATGATATGCAACAAGATGCACATGAATTTCTTAATCATTTATTGAATACATGTGCTGATATTTTACTTGGTTTGTATATTGAAATTTACGTTTCTTTTCTCATGATTTTAATTATTTATGTGTTATAGCTGAAAGAAAAGAAGAAAAAGAAAAACACGATAAACAACGAAATAAAGCAAATGTTGTTGCCGTTACTAATAATTATGGACAATCGAACGGTGATGGACAATATATTAGAACATCAGTCAGTATAAATGGTAATAATGACATGGCTATTGCTAATACGCCAATCGAAGATACTTGGATACATGAACTATTTCAAGGAACTCTCGTATCAACAACCAAATGTCTTAACTGTGAAACGGTATGAGGGAAATAAAATATTTATCACTTTTATTATTTCATCTATGTCTATGAAAAGTTGTCAACCAAATAATTCCATGCCGTAGGTCTTATTTTGGTTCTTCTCCGGCTAACGAGAAAAATCTTATATCCGATTAATTTTCTATAAATACAGATCTATCTGCATCATGCCAATTCAAATGAGTTTCAAGTATGATGATCAGTGCGCACTAGTAGTTTTGTCTTTTAAAAATTCTATATTTTTATGACAGCTTTTAAAATGATTGCCTAAAATTTTCATGTGAACACTGATTTGTTCAGTATCAACAAGAAACTTTCCACAGACACCAGTGTTAAAGAAATTGATTGCGTGTAAATAAAGAAAACTTTATTGTTCTTCCTATTCTGATATTAGTTTCTCAGTGTTGATAAAGAAAACGATTGTATTTACACAAATAGAATTGCAAAAAATGCAGTATCTTGGAACTAGTAATCTAAGATTGTGAACTATTTTCTGAGTACTCATAGCTAATTGGAATTTTCGTAATACACATATGCGCGACTCAAAAAGTGATATTTCATTTTGAACACTTCCTTCATAAGGACATTGTTTATTAACAATAAATAAACTATATTTGATAAAAGTATCAAAGTTTTAATTTCATATCGAGAGACCTTCTGAGACCTTTTCAAATAAAACTATTGAGAAAGTCGATTAACTTAAATTCATACAATCAACAATCTACTATTGAGTGGATCATGTTTTCTTTTCAGTTTTGCAAAACACTCTAAAAACACATGGTCTTCATCAGACGAACAATCCCTAGTCAACTCTCCCTAGAAGAATCTTCAGGGAGTCCCCTGACGAATCCCCGGGGAGTTGTCGGGGGAGAGTGGACTAGGGATGGTTGATAAAAAATAATGGTATTCGATTTTCCATAGTTTATTTCCTTTTCTAGAAGAAAGAATTATACGCAACTTAAATATCTTTAAAGTTTGTTTATGTTTGTTTGTCAAACCAATCAGATTTGAGTATGCACTAAACCAATAAAAATTTCGGCAAAGGCTCTTCGAAAACGTTCAACCGAAGTTAGTCGGAGTCGGGGTCGGGGAATCCTAATCTGTGATCAGTTTTTTACTCCTACCATTAATGATTTTGTTTTGGAGAAAAATTCGTCGAAGGTTGTTGGAGTTCAAAAACAGAAACAATGATGAGTTTATTTTACTAACTTAGAAATGGTGAGAAATGGTAAGATTCGCTAATCCGATCATAGTTCTGGGGAAAACATCACGGGAGAGAAATCATGGTAGAGGTCGCAATCTATAATAAATGGTGGATTTGGATACTGTTCTACATGATTTTCCAGCAAAAATTCGTTCGTAATCCAAGCTCAATGCGGCGCCTTGCATTATCATCATGAAAGATGAGACCTCGTGTTTCTCTTCGTTCAGATACAGCCTGGAAGACTTGTGGTAAGCATGCATTGACATACCAGCTTGCATTCACTATTGCACCTGTTTCTAATGAAACAGACTTAATTAAACCGAATTTCATGAAAAAATATCCACCATTCTTTTCCCCGGCACTTTTGATTCGATGAATTTTGATTGAACGTGGATCACTTGTTGACATCCAAACTTTTGATTGTTCTTTTAATTCGGGATCATAATGGTAGAACCAAAATTCATCACCAGTAATAATGTCAAATACACAGCGAGACTGACTTACTTCGAATCTCTTTAGCGAATGGTGGCAAAATTG